TAATAATAATAATCACAAGGGTTTCAATAGGGTCCTTGCACTGGTGTGCTCGGACCCTAAAAATGAAACTACAGTCAGACCCTTTTCTACATTCAGGTAATTAGAGTAATCTAAAAATAGCTCAATAATAAACATAATACAATGACCAACTTAAATTAATATACAGTGATGGAGTAGTGGACTTGGTGGATTTAGAAGGTAAGGCAAGCAAAGCAAAATGTGGTATATAGGCATTATACTGTTAAATCTTAAAATGTTAGATTGTTATTACTGATTCATTAATGCAGAAGCAGAATTTAGCTGGTAAACAGTAGTCTAGCTTGAAAATTGCTGAAATTTAAATATAATTTTTTCTATTATGGATTAATCTCATCAATCTATTAGTTTCATTTCTGCTAATTAATAAGTGATTTTATTAATTAAATCTAAATATGCCAGGTAGCATCATTGATAAAACATTTGCATTTTATTCGCTCTGATGTGTTTTGTTTTTGGGGTTTTTTTCTATGTATTTTTTAAAAATGCTTTTTTCCAGAGTAACTACCTTAAGCTATCAAATAAATGCAGTGGATTTAGAAAATGCCACAAAGAAAATACTTGAGTGACATACAAGAACCTGAAATGTGTAGTAAATGTACTTTGCTACATTCCCCTGATGGTATTCCATCACTGGCATTGTGAATCTTCAAGCAGATGTAGGTTAATATTCTCTAAAAAAAAATTACCATTAATAATTGTTTGTTCACATGTCAGTCTATTTGTTAACTGAAGTGTTTAGAGTATAAATCTGAGCAGTGTCGTATCTTTTTGATTTTGTGATGGTGCAACATGGGCAGGAAGCTATTTGAATATTTAAATTAAGTTAAATCTGAATTACTGGTAAAAATCAGGTTTTAAAAATAAGGTACAAATGCACTCAAAAGTATGTTTTTATGTATGTGTGATGACTTCATATATATACACATATATTCACAATCAGTTATTGTAGTAGGCCTAATTTTTTCTATGTGACTCTGAGGTAAATACTTTTGCTGCACATTAACAGCTGATGGAAATTGACATAAGTAAACAAATGAAGTTGTTAGCGGTATTAATGCTACAGTTGGTTGAGGTGGAACTTATCTATACTGTTGAGCACAAAGATTTTGAAATCAATATCTTTTTTTAAAAAGTTAATGGTAATATTTTCTTGACTTCCTTTGACTAGTACAGTATTATACTGTATTTCATCCTGAGCATTTCTGGTTTTATGGTTATGGAAATTAACTAATATTGTGTCAACATGTTTCATGACTTGCTCTCACTGACTGCTGTACTTTACTTTGTACTGGATGTCAGGTATTGTATCTCTGGTGTCTCTCTCTCTGCTGTCCTTCGAGCGCTACTCTTCAGTCTGCTGCAGCATCCACTCAGACTCCTCTCAGTACCGAAGGGCCAGGATTGCCATAGCAGCCTCCTGGTTCTACTCGCTGGCCTGGACTCTGCCGCCGCTGCTGGGCTGGAGCAGGTCTGTACTGCTGCAGCAACAATCTATCAGTCCACTCATTAGATTGTTCACCCGTTCACCGATTCATCTGTTCACTCAGTAAACCTGGATTATCTGAAAACTAGGAGGAAAATCTGTGATATACAGAAGAATTAACTACAAATCACCATAATAATTACCCATATGAACCTTTTTAACACACTGTAAAAGCAAAAACTTTAGTTAAAGTTGTTTTAAGAAAAGCATATATAAAAAAGAGAAATCACTTGCTTTCAAAGGACTAAATTATAATATATCAATGACAAAAAAAAAACAGGACAAAATAACATGCTGCAATTTATATTAATCAGGTGAAAGTGAAAATCGCAAATTTTTACTCAGAAACTTAATTTTTAAAAAGCTATTTATCAAATTTCTCATGACGTAAGGTTGAGGAGAGCTCCAGAGGAGTTTAATTAAAGTTAGTTAAGAGTAGATGCTGCAGCACTGAAGCGTGTTTTAGAGTTGTTTACTATAAATCACTGATGGTAATTCAGCTTAGAAATATAAGTTTCCCTGCTGCTTTTAAAATGTGAGTTAAGTGCACTTCAGTTGAATAGTGAATTAATTAGTTGATTAATTTTATAAATTATGAAAGTGTAAAACTATCTCAGTTAAATTAAATGAACTTAAGAAAACAAGTTCAATAAACTTAAGATATTAAATTGAATTTACTAATCACACAGTCAATGGTAATAATATCAAATTCAATTTTTAAAAATAATTTTTTCAAACCATTTTTTATTTGTTCCTTGTGATGTTGCCTGTGTACTCTGTGAAGGACATTGGCTTACCGTTGGGTATGAAAGCGCTACATAAATAACTATGCTTTGCCTATTGTTTCAGCCTCATTTATGAGCCTTATAGAAATGTTAGAAACAGATTAGTATTTAACGTTAAATGTTGATTGCAAATGGAGATATTTGGAGATTTACCATTAAAAGAATCAACAATATAGGCTGTTCTCAATAAAACATCAGAGTAAAATCTAAAAATGTTTTAAATCATGAACAATATGGCAATATCCTCATCTCTGATTACTTACTTCTACTTTAAGTATGCATAACATTACTTGTGAGATTTTTTTTACAGCTGCTTCTACAGATTTTTTTTGTTAACACATACCCAGAGCAAATGAAAGAAAATCTTTTTGAGATTTCTGATAGATCAGAAAACAGAGCTAGAACTTCATAATATTGGGGACGTGAGATCACAGCATACCGTACGTCCTGTGTTGTGGAGCAGCTACGGGCCGGAGGGTCCTGGCACCACCTGCTCGGTCCAGTGGCACCAACGCACGGCTGCATCTCGCTCCTACGTCGGCTGTTTGTTTGTCTTCTGCCTCCTCCTGCCGCTGCTGCTCATGTTCTTCTGCTACTGGAGGATCCTGCTGGCTGTGCGAGTGGTGGTGAGGCAGGTGAGCTCACAGCTTGACCTTTGACCTCCGTTTAACGTCTCGCTCTGCTCTGAAGAACCTTCTACTGGGTTTCTGTGTGTCCACCAAAGGACTTTTGAAAGCTCTTCTGTGTGTCTCCAGGTTGCCAGGATCAACAGGTCTTCAGCTGAGTGGAGGGAAGGCCGCGTCCTTCTGATGGTGGTCGCCATGGTGACTGGCTACCTGTTGTGCTGGATGCCATACGGTGTTGTGGCGATGCTGGCTTCCTTTGGGCGGCCAGGCGTGGTGCTGCCTGCTGCCAGTTTAATCCCCTCCCTGCTGGCGAAGACCAGCACAGTCCTGAACCCGGTCATTTATGTGCTGCTCAACACTCAGGTAAGAACAGTTCCTGTGAAATCATCAGCATGGCCTGATTAACGCCCTGGTTGTTATGAAGCGAAAATGCATTATTCCCTTCTGACCCCCACTATACAGTGTATTTCATCCTCAGACCTTTCAGATGAACTCTGGTAAAATGTAAACTTTTTTTTTTAAACAATATTTATCAATTTAACTGTCTTTTTTTTAAACATTTTTTTTTCAGATTTTCCACGTTTGTTAAACTATAGATAACTAGTAAAATCACAAAACAAGGATATAGTAACATTCTAACCATTAAAAATCAGTATTTTTATAAAAGGTCATTTGTTCTCTTACAATATTAGGTTGTAAAATTAAATTATATTTCACTGTAATCAGCAAAAATATAATTAATTTACAGATATTTGCAGATTTTTAAGAGAAACTGTATGTATATTATGGACTGAAAAAAGGCTAACATTTTAAATTGCTATTTTGCAGATTTGCAGCTTTGTTAAATTACAGATAACAACAACAACAAAAAACAGGTCAAAACTGCATCGAAAGTCTGTTTTTAAAAATAGTAATGCAGTCTTTCACAATGTGCAATGGTAAAATGATAGTTTTGCATGTTTAAATCAGCTAAAACATTATTTTTACAGATAATTACTATTACCATTTTTACAGTTTTTGATTGTTCCACAGTTTAACATATTTTTTTCAGTCATCCTGGCTTCTAGATTTTCAGTTTTATTAGTTTTTTGTGTTGTTTTTAACATTGAGCACCATGTTCCAGATGGGTCAATCTGTTGTCAAATTGAATTTTCCGTTTTCACCGCTGTTTGTGTGTCTCTCTCAGTTCTCCAGGTGTTTTCTCTACATGCTGAGGTGCAGCTCAGAGGCTCCACCCTCCCCGGTTCACCCGATGCAACCCAGCAGCAGGGCAGCGTGGCCTCACGATACCAACCTGCCAACAGAAGAACAAAACACGGCACTTGCCATGCTCACATCCAGAGACCTGCAGGTACAGCAGCCCACTTCAGTACTGGTGGCTCAATATGAAACATAGAGGATACCAGGCATCTGAAAAGAGACTCAGTACACTTGAGATATTTTGAAACACAAAAGTAAAACATGTGTCGTATGAATTCTCCTTGTTTGACCCATTTAATTGATAAATCTGGAGACCCACATTGCTCTGCATCATTTGTAGCTCATTCTGTGATCTAATACTAAGTCGTTTTTGTTTATGCTGTGAACTATAATCTATTTTGTATCTTTTTTTTTTGTTTTTTTTTAATCAGGCAGCAGCTCATTGTGTCTGAGTTTGTCAGTTACATTAAAGACAAACAAACCAGGTGTGTCTTCATTTAACTCTGGATGTTCTTATTTCTAAACTATGAAGACTGACCTGCTCTGCCAGTGTGCTGACTGTTGTGTTATGTTGTGTTGACTTGACACCAATGGAGGGCGCTGTGGAGTAAATAACTGAATGAAGAAAACATGTACACTACATTGTAAGGTGACATTTAGGCTCTATTTATTAACGTTCAACAATATACAACAATTAGAAATCCTTTCAGCTTCCAAATTCCTGAATGAATGGTCAACACCAAAATAATTTATTAAGAAAATAAACATACGTCTTCAAAAATATACAGTCATTATGCTTCATGAACACTGACTGAACTCTCAGTAAGTGAAGGATTTTGTCTGAAGACACATTCACATTGTGGTGAAGTCATACCAGCTTACAGACATGTTGAAATACTTTCAGGTAGGAGGTGAGAGATGTGTCAAAATGCAGTGTATCACGGTCGGTCCACCGTTGAGGAAATGGAGCGTGAGAAGCTGTGAACTTCCCTGAGCAGGCAGTCCACTCCTCACGCAAGAGCTGAGATTTAAACCCCAAACCACTTGATGAGTCCTTGTTTTTTTTTTTGTTTTTTTTAAACACCCCACCAGTGTACAGACATGAACACCGCACACAAGTCTTACGAACAATTCAAAAATACACATGTAACACTAAAAAAATTCCCCGTGAGGTGCAAGTACTGCTGAACCCGAAGTCCGTGTTTAAGGTGCATCCATATCGAGGATCTGCACGGCCAAGTTTAACTGGGGTGAGGAGTTTCTGCTGCTTTCGAACTCTGAGGGGGGAAGAAAAAAAAAGGGTAGTGTTACTGATGACAGGAGAAATGACTAACCCTAAAAGAGGAAATCTAGAAGAGTTATGTTTGAAATCACAAGTCAGAGCCCCATCGTCCAACTGGCAACTGAACAATGGCTTTGATTTATCTTGACAACTGTACAATGCACAGCTGGATGTGATGAAGGCTCAGTGAGAAATACTGTTCTTTTGATTGATTAAAGCTGGAAGCTGTTCCTTAAAGGGCCACAGAGTCTAAACATGTAGCTGGTTTGTACCTTTAACAAGCAAAGGCCATGTATACAGAACAGCAATGCCACACCATATTGTATAAAAGGAGCACTCTGGCTCAACATGATGTTACCAACATAAGATGCGAGTCCCCATTTACAAGATATTTTGGGGAGCTGCTATGACGTCCCTCTTTATATAGTCTATTATAACTGCACATCCTGTGTTGACATGGTCGACACTGGCTGCATGTTTTTTTATGTCAGTGGAAATTGAGTGTCAAAACAGCATTTAGGAAGTCAAAGCAAGTTTCAGGAACAGTTATTTAACAAAGCAGTTTTAACTGCAACAGTGCTGCTTTACAGTGACAGAACATAAACAGGACAGTAATCCCAGACTCAGTCATAAAACATGGAAAAACAGACGTTTTCTGATTGCAACACCAGCTGTACGAGAAGGCACCGGGCCCATTTTTGCTTGATGCTGTACAGTAGGCCAAATTAAACACTGTAAACACATTTACTTATTAGCTTGTAGAACATAAATAAAGCAGGGTACAGCCTGATCATGCACCAGGCTTTTCCTGCTTAGAGGAATTTTTGGTGCCCCCCACAAGACATTTTAGGTACAGAAAAACATCAGCGCCTAATTGAGAATTTTAAGGAGTAATTATTTTTTAAGTCAGTTTTTGTTAGTCGTGTTTGATTTACGGATGCATAGATGACATTTATGCTAATGGTCAGATTACACAGATTCATTGTTTTTACTGTACATGAACTGACCATACTTAGTGTTGTTCAGTCACCTCACAGAGAGTATTCTGAGCCAGAATAAATCCTGTGTACAATACATCTGCCCGATGTTGCATTTCAACAACATCAGCTTTACTTAGAGGGACTGTTACAGGTAATCAGCTGTTCATTTGCACTTTCTCTCAAATGTTACTGCAGAATCATTTTCATAGCTGTCAACGATATCTAAAAAAAATATGACTACAAAAAAAGATCCTTCATTGTAAACTCAAGTAAACAGTATCCACTCGCAAATGTCAAAATAAGTTTTCTATTTGTGTGAAACAAATAATCGTTTAATCAATAAACTCTTTGACAAAGAATTCAAACTAAATGTGAAGTTTTGCTGCTTTTTTTCCATTTATATTTAACACATCAGGGTTTGGACTTTCAACTGGGAAAATCAAGCAATTTGAAAATTAAACAGCTAATCAGTCATACACTGACATAAACAACAAGCTGTGATTCTTAGTTTCGTAAGCTCACCTGTGAATAGTTGAATGGAGACACCATGGGGTCTGGTTTTGTGTAGTCGGGGGGGTTGGCGTGGGGGTCGTAGCCCAGGCGAGCCAGCATCGGTGCGATTTCAGCCATGTCGCTGATCACATCAGAGGGAATGTGCCCCACCCACTTGGAGAGGGCCTCTGTGTTCACTGGCTTCATCACCTGGTCCGTCGAACGTTCAACCCTGCGTAATAACAAACACAAGCTCAATTTATGTTTGTTTGTGTGTGTGTAACCGTAGCGCTGCAACTTTCATGTAGAACAGAAAAAAGTCCCACAGCCAACATTTAATTAACGAAAAATTGGCCACTGAATCGAGACAAATCCATGGCAGATTTGGAAGGTCTACTAAGACACAAGTATTTCTGTATGAATATACTGTCATAAACTTTTGCAGACAATTTGTGAATCATACAAAGTAGCACAATAAAGATATGATATGGCATACAGGTAGTATGGGGGTATTGGGGCTGTTGCTACCAGCCACCTGGTCCTTGTACAACCAGTGAGGGCTGTGTTTGTATTCTTGGCATAAAGTCAACACGTTTCTGGTGCGTGTTGTACTCCACCACGGTTGCCCCGTGTCCTTGATCCTGTTTGTAATATTGATGGACACATTCAAGGCACAGCCGGGTGAGGACAGTGTCCTGTTTGGGGACCTCAGAGTTGCATCTCTGCTGTATGACGTTGTTCTGTTTGCTTCATCAAGCCGTGACCTTGAGCATGCACTGGGGCGGTTTATAGCCAAGTGTGAAGTGGGCAGAATTAAAGTCAGTATCTCCAAGTCTGAGGCCATGGAGTCTATTGAACCTTCTGGTTGGGAATGATCGCTGCCCCAAGAGAAGGAGTTTAAATATCTTGGGATTGCGTTCATGAGTGATTGGAAAATGAAACATGAAATGGACAAACAGCTTGGACTGATCAAGAGGGAGAACCGATTAAGAGCAACAAAAGCAAACAAAAAATAAATAAAATTAAGAATATAACAAAAGTGAAAAGAGTGACATACAGTCATAAGCTAGACAAATAAAATAGTAAGACCTCTTAAACAAAATCAAATCAGGGAAGCCTAACCAATAAGAGTAGATCTTGAGCTTGGTTTTCAAAGATACCATTGACGTACACAGTTATTATGCAACATTGAATTCAAGTATTTTCAGCCTTCCATATAAATCACCTTGATTAAATAAAAAGTGTGTGCACACTTATCAGAACCATAACATGCCACATTTGACAACGTACAATTCTGAACAGGTTATAAAACATTTGGGTGACTAATATTGCGCCAACCGTTGCATAACTAATCAAAATAAGGGTGCTAATTCTCCCAGAATGTGGCCTAATTCTTTCAAATATACGCCAGGTTTGGGTTTAGCAGCATGCAGCGGCCAGATTCCCACAAAATCCCCTGAGATTCTGCCCTGCACAGAGATGCTCTACTTGAATCACGACAAACAAGTGCAGCAACACAAATTAAAAAAAATCTACCGTGGGAAGTCTGTAAGCTCTACTTGACCTTGAAAGTTTTGGCTGCTTCAGATGAAAAGTCTGGCGTCTTGGTGGCTCAGTGTGCTCAAGTACATGACTAGTGTCGAGTTTAAATCTGCGTCACAACAAAACCTGTGCTGCATTTAGATTTAGTAAAACAATGTAACACACAAGGATAAATACATAATACATAAATACTACACATATTGGGTTTTTGTGTCCTGTGCTGAGATGTCTTTAATCAAAGAGCTTCCATCCATGCATTGTCTATACACCACTTAATCCTCACTAGGGTCGCAGGGGGCTGGAGTCTATCCCAGCTGACTTAAGGTGAAGGCAGGAGACACCCTGGACAGGTCGCCAGTCTATCGCAGGGAATCAAAGAGCTTAAATAAATACATTTAAATATAATTTAGGAACAGGCGGTTTCCAATAAAATGACGAGAAGGCTTTGAAACACAACTTAGATTGTTATCTTAGTGGATAAAATAAAATATTTTTACTTCACTCACTACTGTGATTCCCAGGATTCAAAGAGCTTTCTTTTCACCATGTCGCACCACAGTCAGCCATCACAAGAAATCCTCTACAGTTGAGAGCCGAAACAATTTAAAAAATGTAACCTGCAACACTTCGGATAATCGTACAACTACCTAATCCATTTCTTTATCAAAGATGCAAATTAAAAAATCTGGAACGTTTTGCTCATTAGTTGCAGCAGAATGGTAAACTGATTATCTTTGGGTTTTGGTTGTTCTGTGACAGACTGTAGTTGATTCGTACAGCTCTCCACCCACGAATTACTCGAGGAAATCCGGCTGAGTCAGTGATCACTTTTAAGTTTCTTATTAAAAACACTTCTTCCTAATTTTATTTGAGTTGTGATTTTCCTTGAACAGTCTTTTATTTCTTTCCATACTATTAGTTTACACTGCGTTGGCTTTACACACCATGTTGTGCTTTGTCTGTCTTTTAAATTCAGATGATTTTAGGGTTATGACTCTGTTTAATTTTGCTGCCTTGAAAAGTGCTCTATATACAGAGCGTGTCAAATGCTGTATACCAAAAATACCAGGAAGTCCGACTACACCTAGCCAGCTTTTGGAGTACACAAACCAGCATGCTTTTCTGGCCATTCTGACCCACAATCATCTGCGCAGTTACATTACATATATCACAGTGTCTCATGTGAGAACAAACAAGATTGAGGGTTCAAACAGATAGCTGCTCTGTTCACGCTACAGACTATTGCATTAAAGTTTCAGGCTCAGTTTTATGAAGAAGTCGTATGTCCCTGTTGTATGTATACTGCATGAAACTGTACATACTTTGTACAGTTTCAAACGCAGCCATTATCGACCAAATTATGTTTTTGAGTAATGAAGAAAAAAAAGTCTCAGATTAATCAGTAATGAACACAACTGATAGTTAGACATTTACAAGAAAGCAAGGCATTAGTCACATAATGTATTGTGTTTTGAGTATTTAGTTTAAACTGTCAGGACATGGCTGTTGTTCTTAATAGTCAACACCCCACAAAACTCTTCTGCACATTGCACTTTATTCCCCATACATTTTTATGTTTGCTGTGTGTGCACTGTCAACTTTAAAAACTGTTGAGGGGAACAAATCACTATAAAAAAGCCTAGTCTGCACTATTTACAATCACAGGGTGTACAAGTCAAGTGATGATCTCTGTGTGTCTCTCCATGCTGTGACCCCACCAGTAGATAGGGCAAGTAAAAATAGAATTTGTTTTCGCTCGATCAATACCAGTTTTAAATTACCTGTCACCTCACTGTATCAGCCACATACACTACTCTCACACAACAGATGGCATGGAGATAATAAAAAATGAATACAACTCCAACCACAGAAACGATGGTGAGAACTTATATATGTTACATGAGCGTTTATTTAAATATATATGTTATTTAAATTTTAGTCATTAAAAGACAGACAGGTAAAAGCAAAGCCCTGGTTATTCTGAAGAACGGCTCATGATGCGCTTAGCTGACTGATAGAGGAGGCGTGAGCTCTGAGACACAGCTGCCTTTTAGTGGCATGAAAAAAACATAACACCTTTAATCCTGAAATACAGTCGGTCCTCAAAGCTAGCGGGTGGAAATTCACAGGATGAGTAAACACACAGATTAAGATCTGCATAATTCTCTATCATCAAGTACATGCAACATATACATGGATTGAGCCCCTAATAACCATGACTGAACTTAGAAACATGCTGGATCGTCAGAGGGGACAGTTAGGAGGGAATGTCTGCTACTTAGAATGATTTATCTTTGGTGTTTTATAATGAGGCTGGTGGATGAATTTAAAAAAAACAAGCAAACAAAAATGAAAAATGTGATTAAGGTCATGTAAAAGCAGGCTTAAAACCAGAACAGTAGGGCAAACACATCACACATGCTGGGGATACGCTGCCAACTGTGAGTCAACTGCATATTCTGAAAACCTACTGGAGCAACTTTTCTTTATGCGAAAAGATTAACCAGATTTTACAGGCTGGTTAAGCAGGATTAATGCTGTGTCCAAACTGCACGTCGGATATCACTGGAATCTCCCTCTTCCCACACTTTCCTGACAGTGGATAGAGGGTGTCTGTGTTGATCATTCTCTGCAAATTTCCAACAATTGTTGACATTCACATTTCTTACAGGGCATTATTGGAAAGCTGTAGTAGAGTGAAAGAGTCTTTGTCTTATTTTATGTGTACAACCCAATGCAATACTGTCAATATTACCATGGCGACACTACCTGAAAATGCAGCATTAATCCTGCTAAACTATTTATTTTTTCTGAGTTTTTAAACAATATTGTTTCTCCACTCTCTCTATGACACCAGCTTTTCCGGACACCTTCCAGTGTGACTCTTCAGACCAACTATTTGGTGATTTCAGCCTTGAAAATTTTTGCCGCCACCAGTGCAATAAAAGCAAACTGGCTTTCGTTTTTTGAAATATATTTTAAAACTTATAAGCCCTGTAGTGTATTTATATAAACCTCTCTACATAAAACTAAAGTTAGCTCACTATAGCTAAGACGTACACTTGGTAAAAACACTTTAAACACTCACTTGGATAGAGACACGCCACCAGCCTTTCCAATCAGTTCTTCATGGTGCAACACTGACGAGTCCCATTGCAGCTCTAGGAAGTGAAGCAACTTCCTCATTTCCTCCTCTGGGTGGAGAACGAGCTGCTCGTAGCGGACGGGCAGACATCTGCCTTCCCCAGCTGCCTGGCACTGGCTGAACATGGTCTCCACGGCACTGCTCCACTTGGTCAGACAGTCCCTGTAGCTGGTCAGGTCAAAGCCAGAAATGGTCACCTGTGAAAGGAGGCAGAGAGGCATGTACTTGGTCACAATGTGGCACAGGCACAAACTTGTCACAAAGCTGTCTGGAAACAGAAGAATGTGAAGAGGTTTCTGTGCTTGCAACCCTGTTGAGGACAAAAAAACAAGCTTACCTTGCGTGATATCATGGAGTGGACGGTTGCTCGTCCATCTCGTAGCATGAGCACAAATTTGGCTTTAGGGAAGAGGCGTGACAAATAAGACAGAGACTTCAATGCAAACGGGTCCTTGTTGCAAAGGCGAGGTGCAGGCTCTCCGTGGCCGACAATCACCTGGAACACGCAAAGATCATGACAATTTCAAAACAAAATTTCCTTGCTGTTACATACACACTATTCCTTGTTAATGCAAATATAAGCATCAATCAGCTGAGCACTGGTTCTCATGTGCAATTTTTACCCATTTTTAATCAGCACACTTTTTAAGTGCTGGTATGTAAACTGTGTTACCTTTGGCCAGAGTTCGGTTTGTTATATGTAGTTTTTATACTAAGCAAACCTAAGCATCTTACAGCTGTAGCTTCTTATTCAACCGAAAAACATCAGACTGATATGGATTTTTAAATCTAAAAACACCAAATTCCAACAGTGTCACACGATTAATTCAAAATGAAACCTACAGTATGTGTGAGATCTGTGTGTTTTCCACAGGCAATTTTGCAAAATTGTATCCTACTTAAATTTTGTGTTAAAAGACCATTTCATTTTTTCGAAAGCTTACACACATCTAAGCAAAAATTAGGCTGCATGCAGTGTAAAGTCAAATATTACATGATAGGCATTGATGTCATTCACAGAAAAGGGGTCCATTATACAAGTAATTTTCCTTGAAAAAGTACAAATATTTGCTTTCTCCATCACTAAATTGTTGCTTGTTTCATGGTAAATTTGAACATATATATATATATATATATATATATATATATATATATATATATTCCACTGTGATGTAACTGTATATGTATTACATTCAAGCATGTTTACAGGTACAGAGGTGTGTTTCAGACTCTCCAAACCAGAATGCACAACTAACCTCTAACAGGAATGCTCGCACAGCTGAGTCCAACACCTGGTCGGTGACGCCAGCCTCATCCAATCGTATTCTCTCCTTAACCGAGCGGCTCCAGGTCGCTCTCATAGCCAAAAGGCGGGGAATCACGCGGGTCTCTTCCCCACAACGCACGGCATTGTGGGCATCGAGCATAACGCGCATTAGTGTGGTACCACTCCTGGGAAAGCCCCCGATGAAGATGATTGGCGTGTCTTCAGGGAAGTGTTCGGTCAGGGATAGGCTCTGATTGCCCGAGCCCAGGTTGAGCTCCATCCACCGGTAGCGATGGCTTTTTGGAGGGCAGTCTATCCCACTCATGCCAAGGTAGAGCAGAGATGCAGAGCAGAGGAGCACACAGCCCAGCAGCAGGTTCGATCTCGTGCTCCTCATGGTTGTTGGGTGCGTGTGTGGGAGTCAGTGGGACATAAAATAATATTTAGGGGCAGCTGAGGAGACTGGAATCAGATGTGAACGTAGCCACGCTCTAATTTTTTTTTAGCAAAGGTCAGTTAAACAAATCAGTCAGGCAGCTCACAATGAGTGCAAGAAACAAAGCTGTGAAGTAATGCTGAACGAGGTGTAATGAAGCACTGGAAGGTGGAGTCTGGGAAGATATTCAGGTGCAGTTTCAGGTGCAACTTCTCACTCTTCTACAGCTGCTAATCTCTGTTGTCGCAGAGCAGGATCCAGGCCCACCACACTCCACAACCAGTCACGTGTCTTATCCATGGTTCCCACCTAAAACATGAGAAGGACACTTCAGCAAAAGCTTCAAGAGAACCAGTTTGTTATCAAACAATGCTTCTATTTGTCCAAGATAGTAAAAAAGGTTGTCAGTATGACAAGGATTTGTTCCTATCTTGACTTCACAAATTTCTGAATAATAAAAAGTATAAATTAACATATTTTATTTCCCAATAAATAACTCCTTACATTTGCTGTTTCCCTGCCTGAGTGAGCTATTATCAGCAAGCAGGGTGTGATGGTGACCGTCCTTTTGCCAAGAACACTTGCACACACTTTCAGAGGGGCTGAAATGCATCCAGTTTTTGTTCTCAAAGCAGCTATTTTGCATTTTTCCTCTGGGGAGCCACTGACTGCTAAACCATATCAAAGTTCACTGCGGCATGCAACGCAGACACTCTCTCAGGCAATGTATCTGAAGCCACTAATTACAGCTCGCTCATGTTTTTATTCTCACTGACAGTTTCTGCCACAGTGAAATGAAAAGCAATTTGTTAGAGCTCACATTACTATTGACCAAGTAAGACATCTTGCAACTTCCCCATTTCTCTTCTGCAATGTGCACACAGCAGTTTCAGCAGCGTATGTCCTGGACTAATTCCTCTTGTTAGCAGACAAATCAAGATACAAAAGCTTGTAAAAAACATTCAAACGCTGACCTCAGCAACTCCAATGATTTCACTAACGTTCCTAAATACTGATTTCACTGCAGTTTTAAAGTTACTTGGAAAGACCCATTACACCACTGAAAGTGAGGCTTTACTTCTCACAGGAGCAAATTTGAAATATGCCTCCCTGTCTCAAAGGTATTTTGGCGTCTTTCTTGTTCAGACTGGATGTGGAGGGAGCCTAACATCTGGATGCCACGTGGGGAAGGCTGTCCTCGCTGGGCTGGAGTAGCCTGCCTGAAAATTCTCCCTGACGATCAAAGAAAAAAGGAAAAACTGCTGGAAATGAGGACATCATGGCTGGACTGGGGCACTTAGGTGGTGCCTTAAGCCATGCTAAGTCTACTTGTATCCACAAGCTTTATATGTAATTCTAATGTATTTTGATGCAGAGATTAAGCCACTTGTAGTTTGCTGAGAATTAGGGCAGTGCAAGATGAGAAGCCTTGCTGCTTTTTTTTCTCAACAGAGTAAAAGGGCTGGATCACCCAAATTACAAAAAAGCATATATTCTAGCTCGAGTGCTGTGAACAGAATCATTTTTAGTATTTATTTTACTACTTTCATTGTTATATCAATTAAAAGAAATCTTATTCTGTCTGACCAACAGTTTATAACCCAAACATTTCCAGTACATTTCCCATAAGTCAAAGTAAAAAAAGCAAATATTTGCAACCAAGGGGCAAGAAACATGAGACATTCAGCACTTCTTGCAAAAGAGTTACTGAATATGTGTCTGTCCATCAACTAATAGATTAGTTGGTTCATCTTAGTCTCACTGACCTCTGGTTTTAGCGGGATATGAAGATAAAGGGATTTCTGTGTTTGGGTTACACTGAAAAAATGATACATTTAGAAAATCCAAAGCCACACCAAATAGTCAAATCCACAGAATTACCTGTGAAATGTTTTCAGAGGGATTTTTGTTTTTTCAGGAAAGTAATTTCAATGAAACCTCTTCATGCTGTGGTTTCTCTGGAAACATATGTTGAAGTTCTTTTAATTTACTTTTTGAATGTTGTGAGTACCACAGACAAAACTCATTACACCTCCACTGCTCTGAAGTGGAGGCAATAATCTCACATACAGATATCTGAAATCCTAGCCAAATAAAATCTGCTTGTGAGAGTAGACACCATTAGAGTTAAGTGAATAAAAATGGTGGTTTCTGCAAAGGCTAGCACTAAACATCTTCTCTGATAAGTCCGGAAATTGACCTGGAACAGGCCACTGTGTTTACCCATCACAGACATGTCAAAAAACAAGTCTATAACAAGCAGAAAATAATGACCTATGATCACAGTCTGTTTGTAGGCGACAGTTGAGGTGGCTGGCAAGAAAGCAGCACTTTGACATCTGAGAAGAAAGTTGTCAGGAAACCCAAAGCCAGTGTCACCTCTTCCGTACTCCTCTCTGGAGAAAACACTGACTTTCTGCCAAAGCTGAAGTCTGACAGGCAGAACACAACCAAACATATGATATTTTCCCTAAAATCAGATAATGCCTTAATTTATTACAGCCAAGTGCCTGCCTGGTCTCTGAGCCATACCCTTGAATGCTGAAACTCATGTATTTCTGCATGAGCCATTATTGTTTTATTTTTTCTATGCTGCAATGATGGACTTCCTTCAGTGGCAAAAAACGCCAAATTAATTGAATATAAAGCTGGAGGGAGCATTGACACTAACCGCCAACAGAAGTGAAAGCCTAAGAGTGAGAGCAAAACCCCTAATTTTCCCTGGACTCCAGCTGACACATAACTGTTTCGTGGAATTCTCTACACTTAAGGACACACTACAAGCAAAAACACAGTTTTTTTCATGCACTTTTGCAATTTTGATATTTTGCTTTTATATCATCATGTCTTCTTTCAGACTAAAAAGAAAACATTGAAAATGGGAGATCTGCAGCGATTAGTCCATTAGTTGTCAACTATTGGGCCATAGATTCACTCTTATATGTACTTTTTTTTTCGTTTCATAATTCCAGCTTCCAAAATTTTAATATTTCCTGGTTTCAGGAAACTTAATCTTTTTGTTGTGAACAAAACAAGACATCTGTTTATGCCATCTTTGGCTTTGGAAAGCACTGATCTTGTAACGCAAAACAGTCATTGTCTCTTTGAAAGTCATCGACTAGGGAAGTTTCATGAGATATCCGAGTTAAAATCTCCTCACCTGTAGTGTGTTCTCCTTATTGCTCCTCCTTCGTGCATTATCTTGTGCCATGTGTAGCTGTATGAGCTACCTTTCTACTGCAATGTTTCCCCTCAGTGTCTAACAATGTGAGATTATTGCATCAAAGCTCCACATTGAGTTGCAGCTGCCTCATCGTGGAAAAGTGCTGCTTTTTGTCCCCGTCGCGTTGCACAAAACTACGTGCACATTTCTGGGTATATTGTAAACAGGTCAAAGCTCTCACTGTTGTCACTCGTGTGTACGTGTGTGTTTGCATAAATAGGATTACAGTACGGTAGCAGAGCGCAGGCCCAGCAGCCACCAACATCTGGCCTGCTTGACGATACATCTCTTACTGCGAAAACGCACCGGAGGCAGGAAACCACCAGGTGAATGACCCGCTAGCAGCCAAACGCACACCGTGACGGACCAGCGGCCACCTACCGCTCACCATAACCGCCAACACAGCCTGTCACCTCGCCGTTCAACCGCCTCTACCTGCCAGGGACCGACTAATTCAGCTGCGTGCGGGTCGCTGACGGGGTCGTTAAATTCACAACTGTTAAAAATGGTGTTCACTCACCAGCGTCCGTGAAACTGCCGAAATCCGAGGAAAAAAAACCACACATGAACCTTCGGTCCAAAAACGCCGAAGCGAGCAGCTCCCTCACAGACACGTCGGTGTTTCCCCCTCTCTTTTAGCGGCGGAGGTCACAGCCGTGTTGACGAAAATATTGAGTAATTTTATAGAGGCTAAATTACACAGCGTCTGTCCGCGGACTCGCAGCGTAACTTTGCACCCTGAAGTCGAAGCTGCATCTACCGTTGAGACAGAGACAAAAAAAACACAGAGGACACGAGCGCAACCAGGCAGAGAGAGCCGTCCTCTGATTGGTCGCCGGCGTTCTGCTTGGGCGCTTCCTATTGGTGGACGAGTTAAAGGGCGATTCCGCAGCAAAAACCACTGGAGGCTAAAATAGCTTTCCCTTCATCGATTGGTATGCTCTCAGTAAAAGCCCACCGGGGAAATTTAATCACAGTGTGGGATTTAGTGGAGGTTAAAGCCGCCTCATTTAATTTACCCATCTTTTCATTAGTAACACATTTTGGTTACTCTTTCAGGGTTAGGAGGATCTTCATGATAGATTGTAGGCCTCTGTGGAAGACCAAATGTGACCAGATTACATGAGTGAGTCTGTCAAATTGCAATAAATAAACGCATAACCTCTTGAATTCATGGATAAGTAATGGCACATAAATAATCAATACAATAAATTCACTGAGCATATTTAGGCAGGGGTGTCTGGGGGTCCTCTGTGGAGTTACTCTCCTATCTTTAATCTTTGTCTTTCAATTTGACAGTTTGAGAGCTTTATTTCTTCCATTTATTGTTCAGATTTTGTAATGCTTTCCCTCAAAACTCTGGCCCTTCTTTAAATAGTCCCTGCTTGGTGCAAATCTGCACTGTAAAAAAGAAAAAACGAAAAAAGGCACACACACACAAAAATAACCCTTTAAAGATTGGCTGCAAGAGTACCGGGAAAATGGTGGAATACTGTGCTGTTCAAAATGCTGATTTAACTACCATAAAGCAGTTTGATTTCATGGTCCCACGTTGTAAAAGAACAAATTACAGATTGTAAAAATCAAAATTGTTGATGTGGGCATACTGTATAAGCCTGTGACAAACAAAACTTCACTTGAATATCATTTTTAAGTCAACAAAACAGGAAAGAATCTGTAAAATAACAGCTCAAAAAATGATTTAGCATTTTTTAATCTTAAATATATACAACTTATTTTTCATTTTTATAATTTACATGCTGGCTCAGCCTCGCAAGTGGGAAAAATTAGGCCTGTTAAGTTTTCTACAGTGTTTCTTACGGGCAGTCAAAGCAGATAAAATGTAATACCCAGCAGTCCATTGGTTGCCGACTTTTAACAGGGTTGTTTTACAGAGACCCAAGTGTGAGAACACAAGTCTGAGACCACAAGTTTCGCGAGTGCACAGAAGCAGTCTGACTCAAACTGAAGTACAGGACATTTGGTTTGCAGCAGTATAACTAAGTGCAGACGAGGAGGTTTGAGAAGTAACTGAGCAGATTTTACAATAAGCAGCAGCTATTTGAAAGAGAGGCCAGGGTTTTGAGCTAAAACATTGCGAAATCAGAACATAAAATGATTAAATAATGTTGTCAAATTGAAAGACCATACACTCTTGTTTAAAGATAGAAGAGAAACTCCATAGTCCTTCACTTCATTTCCTGCATTCTGATGAAATTCCTGCACCCCCTTGTGCCTTTTATGCATTACATTATGGTGAAAATGTCTTTATTTTTTATCCTTGTTTTATTGAATCTGTTTTAAACTTACTCTTTTATCTGCTGGTTTGGGTTACTTTCGCTGAAGAACAAGCACAGGCTGGAGGGAATTATAAAAGTGAGTGATCTGAGAAATCTCTCAATACTTCACAGCGATAGAGCCATAAAACAGGCCCAGTGAGTCCTCGCTGGCAGCAGTCGTCCACTGTTTGTTGAGTTTTAGTTGTTCCCTTCCGTTTGCAGATACAATCTGTGTAGGTGCATGGCCAACGGACTAAAACAGTCGCTTGTCTCTGCTGCCACTGTCTTTTTTAGCACTATGTGATTTGATTTTACTTATTTTCATCTATTTTATTTAAATGCATTTTATCATCGTAGGTTCTTGTCTTTGACTGATGATGATTTTATTTTTTTAATCTATTTTACTGTCTGTTGCGTGGTTTTAGAGTGTGGTGTAATTGTGTACCACTGTGGTGTGCTGCTGACTTTAAGACAAATTGCCCCTCAGGGATAATAAAGATTACCTTGACCTTGAAAGGCAAAGATAAAATTCAGGCACCAGATGACAATTCAAAATATATGGAATATGATGCAGTAAGTCTCCAAGGCATTCTGTATTTCTTTCAAATCATAATGTTCCTGTAGATCAACTTTTCTGTCATGCAATATTACTCCTGCTAAGATGACAAACATATAGGCATAATTTACTCTCGTCATTTTATGTCTTTTGTTTGAGGAGTATTTTAATGCACATGTGCACCCAGTCAATGATAAATTAACTAATTGTAGTTAATTTACACACAATGCTGGGCTTTCATGAGGGTGATGTATCCTTTGTGTCCCCCTGAGATCTGCAGACATGTGTTATGTTGAATGAGTATTTCATAAGTTATTAATTCATTTTTAGGAAGATTTGAAGTGGCTTTTCCCATATGTTGACTCAGTCACATCAATGTTATCCACAAAGTCAATTATTTATATTATTGTTAATAATAAATCAGCTAAGCAAGATTAATGTCAAGTTGTCTATGCTATTAAAAAGACAGAGTGAATGGACCCTACGTCGATCTCTGTTGCTGTGTGCGATCGCGCTATGATTAAGTCTGAAAAAGTCAGTTTCTCAGTGCTGCTACACCATCTTCCTTCATGTCTGCTTTGAGGCAATCAAGGATTTTGCAACATTTAAGCACAAAACTAAATCTTGACAGACACTCCAACAATTCAGAGCCGCATTGAGACTACTGTGGGCTCTCTGGGCTTCAGTGTAATTCACAACCAGCCACATGAGCTTGTACATGCAGGCAGAGATGTTTCACCTGTCTCTCTTCTCAGTAGGGCCCTGGCTTTGAACCTTGATGTTAAATGAGCACTGATGGGATGCTTATCACATTACTATAACACAAAGATGCATCTAAAATGTCTCACTCAGTCTGATCTGGACTTCCGGCTTCCTCCGACAAGGTCCAAAAACATGTTGAGGTTCATTGGTGTTTCTAAATTGTCCGTAGGTGTGAATGTGAGTGTGCTTGTCTGTAAGTGTAGCCCTGCGATAGACTGGTGACCTGTCCAGGATGTCCCGTGCGTTCACCGTAAGTAAGCTGGGATAGGCTCCAGTGACCCTAGTGGGGATTAAGTGGTGTATAGATAATGGATGGATGGAGTTAAAACAGAGACAACATAGGTTGTTATTGAAAATAAAATTTGAAAAAAAAAATTGTCATTGAAAATAAAATTTGTGATGACGATAATGACAACTTCTTTTTTTTCAATGACAACCTATACGGTCTCTGTTTTAGCTCCATATTTCCCCCACACAAAATAGAAAGGTTGACAATCTTATGTGGATGTTTATTATTCAGGTAATTCAGCAGCTCTCTTTTATTTCAAGTTGTACATTTACTATTTGTCCAGTATGTTTCCCTCTAGTGTTCACTTGTAAGTACAGGAAACTGATGTAATAAACCAACAGGATGTCAAAAAAGAAAGGTGCATGAGTCTAACCGGCACATCCTACCTCTGCTTCAACACCACAAGCACAAAAACAAAAATATAGAGCTAAAACAGAGACAGTATAAGTTGTCATTCGAAAAAATGAATTTGTCATCAAAAATAAAATCTGTTGTTAAAAAAATAGTTGTTTTTTAAAAAAACGATGTTTCAAAGTACTGTTTTCACTGACAACCTTTACGGTCTCTGTTTTAGCTCTATATTTCCCCCACACAAAATCAGAGTCACTGGTTCACTATAGAAAGGATGACAACCTTATCTGGATGTTTATTATGCAGGTAATTCAGCAGCTCTCTTTTATTTCAGGTTGGACATTTATTAGTTATCCAGTGTGTTTTCCTCTTGTGTTCACTTGTAAGTACAGGAAACTGAAGTGATAAACCAACAGGATGTCAAAAAAAGAAAGGTGCATGAGTCTAACCGGCACATCCTTCCTCTGCTTCAACACAACAACCGCAAAAACACAAAATGCTCTAGAGTGTGCAGTTGAAGTGTTTGTGTGTGTAAAGGCTGCAGGTTGTTTCATGTGTAATTCTTACAGAAACACATCTGTAAAGTGATTTGTCCTGCAGTAATGACTATAATACCAATACATAAGGATATTTAACTAATAATACCCCTAATGATTCTGACTGTGGACTCAAATTTTTTTTTAAAAAGCGTCAGCAAACAGAAAGAACAAAAGAATGCTGTGTTTTTGGCATACCACGGGTTCCTTTCTACCTTAGTGCTGCATTCACTGAGCAACTAGAAGATGCAGAGAAAACATGCATGAGTTTCAGATTGTAGATGTAATTCTCCATCAGTCCTTCACAATCTGTTGTACATACAAGGTGCATAGTCCTGTTTTATATTTCTTTAAGCACATGAACAGTTCAAGTAAAGCTCTGCAGCTCGTTCTGACAGCAGATGTTTTGTCATTAACTTTCTTGCAGTTCAGCTTTTATGCTTTATTTTGTTTAATAAGAGTCAATAGCCACCTCTTGATCCCTCCTGTCCAAACTCTTTATTAATAATACTGTCTGACCGTATGTTCATTCAAGTTTAAGTGCATGACTGACTTCCCAGTTTAGGAAGTCATATGGCAGTAAAAGATGTTATTTTGATGCTCTGTGGAAGAACCTGATGACTAATATTAATGCAGAAGCCAAAAAATAAACCAGCTCAATGGGTGACTGTCTCTGCATAAACATTATCGCAAGTATAATACAAATTACACAAGTCAGATGCAGAACTGTGATTCACTGTCCAAAAACCTGAACTTATGAGTATGTGAATATGTGATGTGAATGCAGCTATATGTACAGACATAAATGTAAATCAGAAACACTCTGCTTCTCTTCCTCTATTCATTTAAAGAGTCATCTAAGGTGAACGACTAAAGGAGGTATCTCAAAGGGAATTTCGGCCACTGTGCATCCTGTCTGTGAGCATGTTGTTCAGTTCAAACAGTGAGTCAGAACAGTGCAGATAAAAGTCCAGTTTTTTTCTCCACATATGGGTCAGTTCTGGCCTGTCACTGTGTCACGACTGTTCACCGCCTTCATCCATCTCTGCTTCTGCCGGAGCTGCGTTTTCTTGCTCCGGGTCACCAGGCAGAACGTCTGCGACTGTCTGGATGAGCTCCTCAATCTGCTCCTCTGATAACCGCTCTTCACTCTCTTCTACCAGCTAAACACAAAAAGGAAAATTGAGGCAAGATTTACTGATGTTTGTTGTTTAAAGCAGTGCAGAACTTGAGACTCCAAAACGTAACTGATTTTATTTTCTGTTTCTTGAATTTTTCTGATGTGTTTCTTTGCCCTATACTGTATAACGTATTGTGCACTTTGGTTCTCTACATAAGATAACTTAACCCGACCTCAAGGTCCATTGTACTGAGGCTTTGGATCATATTACATGCTTTTCATAAGCAGATGGAGTTTGCCAGTTTTTTTTTTTTTTAATAAGGATGTTCAATTTCCCAACTGGGACAAGTCGTTAAAATGAAAAACTGTAAGTAACAACATCTACATTTAAATGAAAACTCTAAAGGCTAAAGAAAACCATTTGATTATGTGATTCAAAGCACCAGAAAAACTACTAAATGAACCTCAAAGTTTCCAAAATCAAGAATACATTTTGGGCTTCAGTTTATCAGCACATCATTTAGCACAATAACATCATACTGTGGCAAAGAACAATTCAAACCATGTGTCTGTACTCATAAGTTGTTGTACATTTTCTTGGAATTTGTTTTCTTCAAGAAAACCCTCTGTATGTTGGGAGATTTAAATGACAGCAAGAGGTGAGGGAAAAAAAATGGAAATTTAGGATTTATGTAACATGACAGAAGGTCCTTATGACTGAGATAACTTTTTAGAGATAAAATATTTTTTGAATTTGAATTTCACATTTCCACAACAATCTACTGATGTTTCTGGTGATAGACTGGATGTCCATAAACAACCAAATGCTATATGACTTTCATGTAAAAGGTGTACATGTTCTTTTCAGCTACGAGTTGCATCTCTATGAAATCATCAGGAAGACAGATTCTGACCTTTCCAATGGGCCACTGATGTGCATTGATTTCACTAAATGGAATCAATGGAGCCATGTACATTTCAAAAATGACTCCACACAGCTGGTAATTTGGAACAGTGTGACAACATTTAGTTTGTCAGAAATGACATTGGGTCTGCGACTAAACAGATTCATCACAGGACAAGGTGGGCATCATCTGGTCTGGACAACGGTGAAAGTTTATGTAACAGAGAATAAATATCAGGCTGTGCCCACACTGTCAATGAATGTTAGAAGGATCTGTTCATTGTTGGTTTTGGAATCTTTGTGGGATTTGTTGACAGTACGTTAAAACGCCAGCAGAGTATTCTTTCAGTGAATCTTATTATAAAGAACAATCATGGAAATGTGGACTTTCATTAAATGAGAAATACAGACAGGTAAGGTAATATGTAATACAAGCAATAATGGCAGTAATGAAAAAAACTCACTAGCTGCATTTCCACTGCAGTCTGTGGCCGGTGGTTCAGCAGCTGCAGTTTTTCTGCCCTAGTGGAGGAAAGATATCAATGTGTATATGGTGTACAGAGCAGTGCATGCAAATCAAGTTACATTATTTATACAGTACACTTCAAACAACAGAAGTGGAGCCAAAGGGTTTTCCAATAGAAGATTAAAACTGACACTATAAATGTCCCTAATCAGTATAAATATTAAGATTAAGACCCTACAATATTATATATAATGCAAACTTACTTGACTAGATCAATTTAGGACTCTACACTGCATACAGTTATCATTTAAAAAATTGGGGGACACCTTTGACAGTCTGTAGCACTCAAATGAAACATGAGTTATAGCATTTGTGTCCCTGTCAGAGCTTACTAACTTTGTGAGTTTGTGAGGCATCATGGTGGTGAGAAACTCTTTGACGATCTCAGGGCTCTGTCTGCTGCACGGCGTCTTTGACAGGTATTTCAGCGTCTGTGTGGAAATACAAAAAAAAGTCAGAACATGCTTTTGTAAGAGAGCAAATGTGACCCAATAGACACATGGAGGAGGGTTAAATGAGTAAAGAGAGAGGGAGAGGAAGTGTGCCGACCTCATACATGATGGTGTTGAGGTTCTGCTGTCCGGCGCTGTGTTTGTTCTTCCCGCTGTCCTTCCTCTGTTCCTTCAGGTCTGTCAGGAGTTTAAACACCTGAGAAACAAACAGATAAACAAATCTGTCATCTGTCTGACAAACTAATCTCTTGGCTGAACTGCAAAAACATGCCACCTAAAACAGTGAAACAGAACATATAATCGTACCTCATAGTTGCTCAGCATAGCAGCATTAGCATTTTTCCTGAGAAGAAAAAGAAACAATGTTTACACATGGAAGTTCATTTTTGACCTTTGTACTGTAAATGTGACATCATAATCTACAGCCCAAGGCCATCTTACTAACGTATTATCTCACAATCTTCATTTAGTCAGAAGGGTTTGCTCAGGTGTCACCTGAGCTGCCTCCAATTACTGAATGAAAGATGTGACTAAAAGCTCTAAATGATGGCTTGTGGACCCATAAGCTTAAATTATTTTGATTAAACATAATAAGTGTTCAGTATGATATTTTAATTGCAAACAAGGTATTATGTAGCTGAGTACGCACAGACAAATAACGGCTAGAGTGAAAATGTATTTAACTATAAATTTACTTGTCACAATATTTTATTTCCTTTTATTTTCAGTGCCAATTATTTTGCAAAGTACATTTGAAGATCACATAGAATTGTTTTACTGATGCAAAGGGGGCTGCAAGGTGTCTCGGTGGTTAACATCGTTGCCTCGCAGCAAGAAGGTTGCCGGTTCACGTACTGGTGAGGACACCCAGGATCTTTCTGCGTGGAGTTTGCATGTTCTTCCCGTGCAGCGTGGGTTCTCTCCGGGTTCTCCGGCTTCCTCCCACAGTCCAGAAACATGTTGAGGTTAATTGGCGATTCTAAATTGTCCGTAGGTGTGAATGTGAGTGTGCTTGGTTGTCTGTGTCTAAGTGTAGCCCTGTGATAGACTGGTGACCTGTCCAGGGTGTCCCCTGCCTTCACCCTAAGTCAGCTGGGATAGGCTCCAGCCCCCCCCACGACCCTAGTGAGGATTAAGCGGTGTATAGATAATGGATGGATGGATGGATGGATGATGATGCAAAGGGCTGCAACTAATCATTATTTTCATCAGGGCTGAACAATATATTGTTTCAGCATTATCATCATAACAGTGTGTGCAATAGTCACATCGCAGGAAGTGCAATGTGCACAAACTTTTTTTGTTGCATCATACAAAAAGAAAAGCAGTCACATTTCTATGGCCAATCTGCAAGAGAAATCTGTCTGCTAGAGCATAATATTCTCTGATTTTAAGGTTCTTGGATACAATGAGTTTTTCTTTAAACTTAATTTGTAAGACAGAGTGTGTTGATATGGAGACTCCACATCTATCCATCCATTATCTTTACACCGCTTAATTCTCACTAAGGTCGTGGGAGCCTCCTGGACAGGTCGCCAGTCTATCGCAGGGCCACTCAGAGACAGACAACCAAGCACACTCACATTCACACCTTCAGACGATTTAGAATCACCAATTAACCTCAACATGTTTTTGGACCTTGTGGGAGGAAGCCGGAGAACCCAGAGAGAACCCACGCAAACTCCACACAGAGAGATCCCAGGCGTCCTAACCAGGAAGTGAACCGGGGATCTTCTAGCTGTGAGGTGACCCCGGGGCCATCGTGCAGCCAAAGGCGCCACAACATTCACACAGCAAAATGAGAGAGGAACAGGAGAGAAACACTGAAAAGGATAATTTAACAGAAACACAACCACTTGTATCAAAAACAGGTACTCTGTCAGCAGCATCTTGCAATTGTTGCCACTACAAGAGGCAACAAAACTAATTTGTTTAACTATTTTAATCAGCTCCAAAAATCCATTCAAGTAATATGGTGAAATTTATGCTATTGTTTCATATTGCAGTATTGCAGAAAAATGAAGTACCGCAATGTCAATTTTTTTAATCGTGTTGTCCAGCCCACAACAGTTCATGTTGTTTATGATTTTTTTTCCTATATTATTTAAAAAATGTTATCATGTCAAAAAAGTCAGCGTTATTAATAGCACAGAGACATAAAATAAACTAACTCCACATTGTTGAAAAATGGGTACCAACATTTTTTGACTATAAATGATCAAAATCAAGAAATTTTCTATGAAGAATTGATACAGCAACTAATTGTAAAAATACTCTTGGACTTTTTATAACACAGCAGTGACAGTTTGCAGCTGACAATGCTGCGTTTGAAGTAGAATAAAAGCACACTGAGGGTATTATTTAGATATCATAACATTAAACCTGCAAACACAGTGGTTCAGTGTCATAGACAGCTTTTCTCAGCGTCAAAAACAAACGAAAAACATCGACTAAACAAACATATCCTCGCATTCAGTGGTTTAACTGGTTAATTCACATTCAGCATGAGTCTGTATTGTCTTATTTATTTTCAAACAGACTGCAATTTAGTGTTGTTAGACCAGATATAGTAGAAAATGTGCCTAAACCCGGTTGTAATTTCACTCCGTTCACACGGGTCGACTAATAAATTAACCTGTAACTGACAACAACGCGATTTTAACTACAACGTTTGTCTGAAGTGTCAAAAAACAACATACAACAACCAATTTACAAGTTAGCGGGAAAAAAATGGAATAAAATTTCGTATTTTAAAAATCTTACACTTCCATTTTGCCAGGCACTTCGGTCCGTTGCAAAACTGTCCGTGTAGAAACGGTGTACCGGCGCAAATGTTCCGCTGATACCAACTTCTGGTAGGAATAAGCTTGAGAGTAGCTACAACAGCTGGTTTGGTCAGCTAAACCACAGCAGCTCTCTACTTTCATCTTAAGGCTAAAGTTTAGGAAAAACGAAGAAGTCAATTTGCCCTGAATCAAATTCTAAGCATTAATCTAACGTCAACTGTCAGGCTGTTTGAGTGTTGCAATGATCAACTTTTTATTTATTTATTTATTTATTTTGGGGGGGGGGATAAATAATTTTAGGTTTGTTTGTGTTCAACTTGATGCTTTTATTTTCTAAAATGACTAAATGAGCCCCCCTCCACTGGTATGTTTGGGTTGTGCTGTCCTCTTCTGTTCAGGCTTCTTTGTCATCTTAGAAATGCTGTTTATCTCTTAATTTGAACTACAATGACACAGAACAGGACCGTCAAGGAAGCCAATCAGGATCCAACTTAAAAATTAGACTACGCATCAGACTGTCAAAATATCTCAACCTGATGTTCTCACTGCAGAAAAGCACAAACCAGAACACAACCAGAAACAGGATCATGAAGAACCAGTGACAGGATAGGGCCAATCTATGAAATACTGAATCAGATGACACTTTCCTCCCCAAGATGCTTCTGCCTGATAGTAAAAAAACAAACAAACAACCAAACCAAACGAAACAAACAAAAAATAATAATTTTGCTGTAAAATCTACTTATCACCCACAATAATGATTACCAAATAAGACAAGAAAGTGTATGTTATCTACATTATAGGTGACACATTCTCAGTTATCTGAACTCAGACTTCAATCTTTCTCATCTCATCTTTAATAAAAAACAGAACCAATGAAAAGCAGACAACTTAAATCAAAGTATGAAAACCATTTATCTAATTTAATCATATTGTACAACTGATCTTTTCTTCTTTTTTTGTTTTTTGTATAGCATATACCAATTAAGCCAGGTAAGATCCTTATGAAATTCTAATTCGAACATTTGTAAACAGCAAATTATACACACTATGACAAAATATTACTATATGCAATTTTAAACATTTGTTTTCATTTTTTTAAATCACCACCAAACAACAACAACAACAACAACAACAACAACAACAACAACAACAAAAACAACAGAAAAGGCTGAAATCCCTGCCTTAATTATTATGAAGATTTCTGATATAAATTCCAGAAATGTGGTTGACAACACATTTACTAAACTAGACAGTCAGTGCTCTCTGTTGGGACAAAAGATTCTGGGGAAATTACAAAAAAAAAAAAACCTATGCAAAAAAAGTCAGCAAATGACAAAAAGGTGATCAAAAAAGAGATTTTGCCACCTAAAACAATGATTACACCAAATTTTGTATCAGATCTTTATCATGAACTCTTCATTCTTTCATTCATCCATCCATCCATCCATCCATCCATTATCTATACACCGCTTAAGCCTCACTAGGGTCGCTGGAGTCTATCCCAGCTGACTCAGGGTGAAGGCAGGGGACACCCTGGACAGGTCACCAGTCTACCACAACGCTACACTTAGAGACAGACAACCAAGCACACTGACACTCACACCTACAGACAATTTAGAATCACCAATTTACCTCAACATGTTTTTGAGCTGTGTGGGAGGAAGCTGGAGAACCCAGAGAGAACCCACGCTGCACGGGGAGAACATGCAAACTCCATGCAGAATGATCCCGGGTGTCTCCACCGGGAAGCGAACCGGCAACCTTCTTGCTTCTTGCTGCAAGGCAATGGTGCTAACCAACAAGCCACCCTGCAGCCCCTTCATTCCTTCAGTGTTCTGATATATAAAAGTTGAAGTCGTGTCATTCACTGCTAAAATTGCTTTCACTCTATCTTTGTCTGCAGTCAGCTTTGTCATGATGTGTGCGCTCAGTTAATCTCCATTGGGACAGGCTCCTCTACTTGAGAGAAGAGTTCAAACATCATCTTCAAACTCTGGTCATTTATGTTCACCGAAGGATTTCTGCTCTCAACCAGCTTCTTGACATTGATCAGAATTTCTTGGCGTTGAGCAAATCTGCAAGCAAGAAAACCCTTCAACTCATTAAACCTCCTTCTCTCCCCCATCTGGAGAATCATGTGTTCAATGATGCCAGACAGAGGATGGCCAAACTCGATAACACTGTTTTTACCACTTGTGCCCTCATAGGAGAATCCCCCAGAATGCATTGCAACAACATTACAGTGCTTATCAAAAACAGGAGAGCCAGATGAGCCGTCATAAAAACCAGTCTCATAAGTCAGGACCTGGGAATGTTGTTGAACATAGTTTGCTACGTCCTCAAAGAAACGCTTAGTTATCAACTGAATGTGTTCTTGATTGTCCCAATAATGCCTCTCCACAACCTGGATGCGGTTCTCAGTTGGAACAATCAGACAGGGATCTATTTGTTTCACACCACTATCTGGATGCCCAATAATACAAATTGCACCGCTTTTGGGAAGGAATCCAAAGTGTGGTAACAGACCACGGGGCAAATTCTCATTAGCACCAAGTCTTAACAAAGCCCAGTCACATGGTGACACATCAGGACAGTACTCAATACCAACAACCTCTTCCACCTTGACTGACCGTCCCTCTGTCTGTTCCAGACTTTCATAGCAGAAATTGACAGTGACAAGCTTGTCAAGCTTCCTCCTAGTGTCACTATAAATGTCTTTAATAACATGGGCATTTGTGAGGACAAAGTTGTCAAACAGCAGAAAGCCACTTCCAGCCGGTCTCTGATTTATCCTCACCTGACAAACAGAATCACTAAGCTCCATCAGCTTCTTCATCGTCTTCACCTCTCTGCATGTGTCAGCATTCTTTCCGTACTCCACACGGAGCAGATTCTGGATGCGAGAAAGTTTAGGAACTTGAGTTTTCATGCTGTTCATCGAATTGTTGAACTTTGAAATTAACTGAATCTGCAACTTTTTTGAATAGGGTATTTCACGCAATACATTTTCTGGTTTCCTAACACCGTGAAGCTTTGATTTCTTTTCTGGTAGGTTGTTATTCTCTGAATCAGTTGTGGTAGACTGCTGTGAGGAGTCTTGGCTTTCATCAGGACCATTTCCCTGAGAATCGCTTTGCGTCATGTACGCATCATCAAGACTGCTAGACTGACTCGCTGGTGGACTCGACTTATCAAGCAGAATAATCTGGTAAGTTTTACCATCAAGATCATCAACCAGATTAGACATCTCCGTGTTTACTTCAGTGCTTTTCTCAGAAAGTGCACAATTCTTTCCGAATATAGTACTGAGAAAACGACCATCTCTTTTTAGAGCTTGCTTCACTTTCTCCCCTTTGTACGCATAAACGGTAAGTTCCTGAATATTTGTTTTTAGTGCTGGATTTTTCAGGATTTTTACTACATTTTTACCTCCCTTTGCCAACACATGAAACATCACAAGCTCGCTAGATGGTCCTTTCTTGCGAGAAGAAACACACTGACTAACCGCTTTTCCAGGTTTGTTGACAGCTTTCACATACTTCAGAGTCAGACGTTCATTTTTAATTAAACTGCATGGAAAGTGTGAACTGATAGCTTTAAAGTCTTTTAGAATGACAAGCTCCTTGTCTTTGTACTTTGCTGCAAGCTGTTTGAACAGTGAACTTCTCTTCAGGACGTCCTCAACAGTTCCGGCTTTGTTGCAGGTGATCGTAGTGGATGTCTTGCCATGACAGCGCCACTCGAAAGAATGAGTTGGGTGTGGCTCCTCTTCCTGTGGACAAGAAACAGTTTGGTCGCATTGATTTCAATTACAGCAAACCAGTTTTTAAAGCAATGGTTCATTTAAACATTGTCATAGCATCTTAAGCATATACTAAATATGATTATACTATGAGATCTCAATACATTAGGGTCTATCTATGTATCAAAAACAGCAGCACCTGGGACTCAGATGTTCTTTAAAAATGTCAGAAAAGATGTGTTTTTTTTTAAATCAATAATTTACATTTGCCAACAAAAACAAAATAAACATGACAAACCTGTGCAACAGGTTGTACATTCGGAGGCGGACTGCTTTCCCCACTGTCGCTTTCTGTTTTTTTCTTGACATAACAGAGAGAAAAGTTAATAATAGCAGTTCACTACAGAATCCATGCTTCAGACCACAGACATGCTAACATTTACGGTAAGGTGAAACAGCCAAAATCAAAATGTCATGGCGAAAGTATATAAATTCATTCTTAAATAGCTTGTATTAAACTGTATTGCGTGTATAGAAGGAAATCAGTACCCTTTTTTCAGCTGGTTCATCATTTGTAGTTGTCATGTTGCTGTTGTTTCCAGCTTAATTTTAACAACACGGAAAATAGTTGGTGTTGTATCTGTCCTATGGGAAAAGGAAAATAAATACAATTAATTTCTTTGCTGGAAATCTTGTGTATTCACATCAACATACATTTGTTTGAATTTTTTGAGATGTTTGTTTATGTCTGTAGTTGCTGGAACACATATCAGGTTCTTGCTCTAGCAGCTGCTCACCTTCATAAATAAGTAAGACAGTGTAAAATGCAATCACATAATAATAATAATAATAACAATAATAATAATACAGCAATAATATTACTCTGAAAGGGCAATAGATCAATGAAGGTTTTAAAATTACCTCTCTAAGAAGAACACAACATATCCATAGCAAACAGTTATAACATGCCTGAATAATTTCACATATAGATGGGTTAGACAGGTGGAAATTAAACCCCCTTTTACCATTTGTGCATTAACAGTGTGAGAGATTTTTTTTGTTTGTTCTTTTTTCTGTCAAATCTACCCCAATCAACACTGCTCAGTGTTTACTGACTTGTCGACTAATGACTGAGAAAAAAAAATCTGATTCTTATCACGTTTCTGTATTTTCTATTCTATATTTCTCATAACTGGCGACCTGTCCAGGGTGTCCCCTGCCTTCGCCCTAAGTCGGCTGGGACAGGCTCCAGGCCCCCCGCGACCCTAGTGAGGATTAAGCGGTGTATAGATAATGGATGGATGGAATATTTCTCATACTTCTTTGCTGGATAATGGCGGAAGTAACAGTTTCCTGAAGTATCGGTCATCGCTATAAAAACTATGCTAGGGTGACCATATTTTGATTACCGAAAACCAGGACACTCGGCCCGGCAACTCAAATGATGCTCAAAGTTTATGAATAGAAAATTGTTATATTACAGGGTTCTCACCAGACATTTTTGACAGCTTTCGTGGGCGTCTTCGCTGCTAACGCTGCTATTCGTTAGCAGCGAGGACAACGAAAGAGAAATGAGTATCTAAGAGAAATTTGCAAAGCCAAGACACAGTGTATTTTGTTTTTAAATAGCGTGGTGAGAACCTTGATAATACTTTCTATAACCAAAGACACGGGGGTGGGCGTGAAACCAGGACATGTCCTGGCACAACAGAACGTTGGGTCACCCTAATGAGAGCTAGATGTTTGTTCCGTCGCAGAAAAGTTTATTATGTTACTTAAGGTTTTTTAACTTACCGAAAAATGTGATCAAACAGCCACCGACCGACTGTCGAAGTTGTACCAGAGGAATTATGGCCTGCACGTCTACCAAGTAGTGGTACCGCAAGTGAGCGCCATTTCCTTTAAATTCTTCTTCCTGTTCTTCTGCACTTGAAGCAGGCGGGAAACCTGCTGCGGCACTGCTGCCTCCTGCAGGTCGGGATAGATATAGCTCATTAAAAAAAAAAAAAAGAAATTGGTCATTAAAAACTAAATTTGCCATTGAAATGAAGTTTGTCGCTGAAATGAATTTGTCGCTGAAAAAAATAAGTCGTCATTAAAGAAATTTTCCAAGTTTTTCTTCATGTCTGTGCTTTTAAAGACTTTTTTTTTTTCCCAGACAGTTTTTTTATTTTTATTTTTTTTAATGATGTTTCAAAGTTCTGTTTTCAATGACAACTTGCTGTCTCTTTTGGCATGGAGGGTATGGGGCTAAAACAGAGACAGCATGGGTTTTCTTTAAAAAAAAAAAAAAAAAAAAAAAAAATTTGCCACTGCAAATGAAATTTTTCATTGAAAAAATAAATAATTTGTCATCGAAATAAAACAATTGCCATTGGAAATAAAAGAATTTGTCATTTAAAACGAAATTTGTCATTGAAAATAACACGTTGTCATTAAAATAAATTTCAAGTTTTTCTTCATGTCTGTGCTTTAAAGACATTTTCTTTACAACTAGCACTCTTAAACTACTCGTTAGCTTGTCTAAAGACCAACTATCATTAGTAGATCAACAACTAGCATCCCTAGGCTAGTCTTTAGCTTCTCTTAATTAATAACTGTCATTACTAGGCCAACAACTAGCATTCCTAGGCTAGTCACTAATCCATGAATACAGCAGACAACATTTTATAGGGAGACTTCGATAAGAATACGTGAGACTATTGCATTTATATTGCTTTTCCGCAGGGTTTCACTCTTTCCTTCTCAAACAGCGCCCTCCCACACGGTGACGCTCAGCTACGTAGCAGCAGAGAAGAAGCTCCGCTGACGTTTTTAAAGCGACAGTAACTGCTTCAGTAAAAACTGCCTCGTTTTCGTGCCAACGTCTCAGCACTGACCGTCCCCTCAGCCACAACATCCCACCAGAGCACACTGCTACAGACACCCGCCGTCGATTAAAATGGCCAACACTGAGGTAAGGTTGAAGTTTTAGCAGCAGAAGCTACGACCACCGGCGCCCACTTGTTGTTTTAGCTGCCAGCTGGGCGCTAACAAAACAAGCTGTCACACTGGGTTCTCCTTGTGTTTTGCTCCCCCAACAGGGAAACAAGCTTTGGGGAGGTCGTTTCGTGGGAGACACTGACCCTATCATGGAGAAGTTCAATGCATCCATCGCGTATGACCAGAGGATGTGGGATGCAGACATACGTGGCAGCAAGGCTTATGTTAAAGCTCTGGAAAAGGCAAAACTGGTCAGCACGGAGGAGATGGAGCAGATCTTAAATGGGATGGATCAGGTAAAGTCACACACATAGCACTGCAATAAGGTTCAGGGTACACAATCAGTGAGGTCCAAGCTGACACTAGTTCCTACACTTACATACATTGGGGTTTTTGTATCACTGCCTGCTGGTTAATAGATGACAGCTGAAAATGTGCCATGGTGCAGGATTCCTCTGTATTCTGCTGAGTGTTTGGTGAACAATAGTAACATCATGTGACAGGTGTCAGCTGCCAAACAGCCTCTGTTTTCAGGGTGCCCTCTCCATCCTGATGTTTTGCTTTGTCAATGCAAGTGACATTAGGTAAACAACACAAGGCAGACAAAACAGATGATGCAGAATATTTTCATGTAAAGGTCAATAATTGCGGGTTCATGCATCTGAAATATATCTAGCAAAGCAAAATGTGCAAAAGACGGTTTCATTGCATTGTATGTGCAGTATTTAAACCAGCTTTGTGACACACCGCATGTTCTTCCCCCACCAGATTCATGAAGAGTGGTCTAAAGGGATTTTTGTGATCAATCCTGGAGATGAAGACATTCATACTGCCAATGAGCGCAGACTAAAGGTGAGATTGTTTGTGCTTTATAAGAACCGTATTTAATCTATTTGATTAGGTTAGGAATGACCTGTTGGTCTCATAGGTGCTGTTTTGTGTCTGTTCTGCTATGTAAAATTATATTATTATTCTGGATTATGATTACTTTTTTGTATCTGATATAGTAACATTAAACTAGTTAAATATTGTGCTGTATTACTATCAGAAAAGGCAATACGTGAATAAGTCTGGTGATCTTCTATATTTTTCTTACGGTCAATAAATCCCTTGAAAAGACCAAAGTCAACACTGAATTGATCCTACTAAAACATGCTACTGGTGTGCCTGATTATTCCTCTGTGATATAAACTTCTATTTATGTCCAGAAGCTTTGAAGGATAAAAGTAGGATAAGACCAGTCCTATCCTGATGTGTGCCAACATCACAGGAAGCATTTAAGTTAAAAATCTACAAGAAATGAGGTTAATGTTTTATTCTTTCAGTTATGGGTTGTAAAACACTGTTCTCCTCCAGCTCTGGCAGCTTACTGATGGCTGTGATGAGAGATGTCACAGTCGCTTTGCTACCTGTTTTCTCAGGAGCTGATTGGAGCGCCTGCAGGGAAGCTGCACACTGGTAGGAGCAGAAACGACCAGGTTTGTCTGAAGTTTTAAACTGTTTGACTCAATTGATGTTTGGAGTTGGAGCTATTCAGTAGTAAAAATAGTTGATAAAGTGTTATTAGACTGTGTCCTGTGTGTGTTGTCATTGACCAGGTGGTGACTGACATGAGGCTGTGGCTACGAGATGCCATCATAACCCTGACAAACAACACCCTGCAGTTAATATCGACCATGGTTGAGCGGGCGGCAGCGTAAGACAAGCAAACTCTGGCTTAAAAGAAGTCTCCTTCCTGTAAGCATGCTTTTTAAAACTGGCCCTTCTGTCACTTCTTTTCTGCAACTCAGAGAAATTGACGTCCTCTTTCCTGGCTACACCCACATGCAGAGGGCTCAGCCAATCAGATGGAGCCACTGGATTCTAAGGTGACCTCTGTAAAATGTAAACTGTGCATGTTTCCTGCCTTTCATATCAGACATTGTGTTGTTAATGCTGTGCCTCATCTGCTGCCAGTCATGCTGTTGCTCTTAGCCGAGATGTGGAACGACTTCAGGAGATCAAGAGGAGAGTTAACGTCTTACCTCTCGGCAGGTACGCTGTGAACACTGAGAATGACTCTCAGTCATAGACATGATTGAGTATTTATAATGATTCCTGTTGTTTTCAGTGGAGCCATCGCTGGAACACCATTTGACATTGACAGGGAGCTCTTGCAGAAAGGTCAGGCCACAGAGTTTTTTGGCACTTTATTTATTGCTGCATTTCACCTCTGTCTTTTTTCTTTATGAAATATGTATTTTCAAAAACTAAAACTACATCCTTTCTCCTCCTCTGGATTTGTAGAGTTGGCGTTTGATGGCATCAGTCTAAACAGCATGGACGCCACAGGTCAAAGAGACTTTGTAGGTACGTAAATCTGCACGTTAGTCCACTGTTAGATATACACGGATCCAACCAGTGACTATAGATTACAATTAAATAACCTTCTCTTTGCTCTCGAAGTTTCTCTGAGTCTTTTCACATTTGTGTTGTTTCTTCTTTAGTGGAGTTCTTGTTCTGGGCTTCGTTGTGTTTGACCCATCTCAGTAAGATGGCTGAGGACCTGATGCTGTACAGCACTAAAGAGTTCTCCTTCGTCACACTCTCAGACGCCTACAGGTTAGATTGAGCTTTTATTAAGTGGTTTTAAAATATATTTCTTAACAGTGTGAAGACTTTCAAACCCTGGATCAATTCATTTATATGAAGTTAAGACAAAACACGACCACTTACAGATACAGGAAATAAAACTGGTTATCTTGTAACACGGCCACATGTGAAGGTCTAAAAGATATTAAGCAAACAGTCACCATGTTGGATGCAGAAGAAGCAAGAAGAACTGAGCAACTTTGACAAGGACTTACTTATTACAGCTTGATGGCTTTGTTGGAGCATCTCTGAAATGGCAAGTTGGTGGTTGGTAAGGACTAGCCATGCACAGCAGTGGTGAGTAGACTGATAGTTGTGAGAGGAGGGACAAACCATGAACCGGCGATGGGGTGCTAGGGGGTGTCCTGGAAGAAGTCCAATGTGTGGCGAGTCCAACCAGGACAAGACACGTTCAAAGATCCTGTAGTGTCAGTTAGCTGGTTTAGCAGAACACAAAGTACCGGCAGTGTATTTGGCAGGTGGTTGTAATGTTTGTCTCATCATTGAATGAATAATTTAAGTAACTGATATGTAATATATCTGGGGATACCATAATGGATACTGACCTGACACATGTAGAGTCTCACATGTTTTACCTTCAACTAAAAAATAAGGCCTGAGTGCTTGTTTAAGGACTTGATTGTTGATGGATCTTTACATATAATACGGTCCTTTGCTTTGACGTTTTGTTCCACATGTCTGTAAACAGGATACTAGCAATAAAGCAGTATGGACTCTATAAATGATGATAAAATTGTACATCTGGTCATTTTACCATTCAACATCGACAGCACAGCTCCTACAACTGTAAGGGCTGCTCTAAAGAACTCATGCTACACATTGCATACTATCAAAGTGAAATGAAAATACAAGTCTTGACCATTCAAGGTGTAAGTTCTTTTTTCAGCATTAGCTCTGATGTTGCTGCTGTGAACTGCTGTATATTTTATGTGCCTCTGTCCTTCTCATCTATACTTGTTTATAGCACTGGCAGCAGTCTGATGCCCCAGAAGAAGAATGCTGACAGTCTGGAGCTGATCAGGAGTAAAGCAGGCCGTGTCTTTGGCAGAGTAAGATCTCCAACTCTTTTGTTAATCTCTTCACTAAATGGACCTCTTTAATGTTTAGTGCAAGTGCAGACCAAATCCTGTTGCTTCCTGTTGGAACAAAGTTGCTTCTTTGCCAATTTTTTATTTTTATCTTTTACTTATTACAGACTTTCCTCGTCAGAAGCATTTCTCTGCAACACTAGCACCCTCTTGTGCCCTAAAGCTGCCACTAGTTTTCCTACAAAATTATAGAATCAAAGTCAGTATAAATGACAGAGGGAAGAAAAGGTATTATTCAAGAGCAAACCAGTTCACTAAAGGCTTTACTAGGCAGAGCTTTATGGATAAACCATTTGACCTTTCAAGAGCAGAGCAGCACATTCACTTCAGCTCGTTGCCCTTTGACACACTTCAGTTTTCTCATCAAACACACTTATTACTTAATTACGTCTGTATTTCAGAGCGCAGGGTTCATGATGACACTGAAAGGCCTGCCCAGCACCTACAACAAGGACCTGCAAGTATGAAAGTGTTTCTTTGTGGACTTTATGGGAAGTACTTTTCTAGTTATTTCTAATTTCCTGCTCTCTCCATCCCGGTCATCCCTCTTTAGGAGGATAAGGAGGCCATGTTTGACTGCTATGATACTGTTCAGGCGGTGCTGCAGGTGACAACTGGTGTCATGTCAACTCTGAAGGTGAGAGGTCAAGTTCACTGCTCTCAAATTTGTGGAATAAATTGTAAACTGTAGACAATGTATATTAAGTATTGCTTGGTTTTTCTTAAAGACCTTGACTCTGTAAAAAAAAACACGTAAATTTGGAACTTGTTTTGCTTTCAGAGCGCACATAATGTAGAAACTATGTCATGTCATATGAATGGTGGCGCACATGGACGCAGCGGCCCCTTCAGGAAACAGCAACAGCGAACGTTTAGTGTCTTATCCCAGATGTGCATTCTGCAAAACTTGCTGGTTGAATGATCCTGAAGAAACGCTCTGTCATCTTGCCTGTACTACTGTGAAAGTACAGCAAAATGACAATAAACTTGATTTGATGTAATTTGACGTCATGTTTGAAAGAATATGTAGATTCATGATAGTTTTCCCCAGAACTTTCCCACACGTGTTCCCTCTGTTAAAGTTAACTACAGTATACATCTGTGTTCTATTAACAGCAACTATTCATGTCAAGCACATGACAAACTATTTTCCGATCCTGCTGTTCAAACATTTGGAAAACTTGCCACACTGTTGCTTTAGCGAGATACAGAAGTGCAGAAATTGCTAACAGATAGGTTTCTGAGTTGAGGCTACATTTTAGTGAAAAGTGGAAGTTGCAGGTTCTGATAATAAGGTTTTAGAAGAAAGATGAGAAAACATGACATGCTGTGTTTCTGTTTTTTTATTTTATTTTTTGCGTTATTTTTTACATTGAGGGAGAAAAATCCATTGTTAACCTTCAGGGCTTGTTTTCTTTGACTCTCCTGTGTTTCAGATCAACCAGAGTGTGATGGAAGCTGCTCTCAGTCCTGACATGTTGGCTACTGATCTGGCCTACTTCCTTGTGAGGAAAGGGGTGAGTGGTGCAAAATGTAGATATATCATCATCTAGGTGCAGATTTTTTTAGGATGCCTTAACAAAACAAAAAAAATTCAGTTCAAAAGAAATCAGTTTCCAGAAATAGAGTCGTACAGTATGAAAACTTAAGAGACTTATCTTGACAGATTTATTAGTCTCGGCATCTCATATGTACAGCAGGTAACTCGTAATCCAGTGTGGCAGTTTACATATTTTTATTTACCTATTACGGCAGTTTTTAATTTGATATGTATTTATTTATTGTTCCTGTTCACATATAGAGTGTAATTTCTGTCACTTGTAATATTTAATTTTTGGAGCTTTTTGGTGGAGAGACATGTCAGATGTGAATTGTGCAGAAGAAAAAGAAGCAGATACTGCAGTATTGATTAAAAAACACAGAGTAGAAAACTTTATTGTTTCTGACTTCTTATGTCTCTACCCTTCATGCCACAGAGGGAAAAAAAATGATGGGTGAAGAAAAGATTTACAGAGTGCATGGCTGATATCAGGACAAAAGTGAAAATATTAGTATGTTTTAAGTGTTTTACAGTGCAGCTTTGCGTGATTCTGTGTTGCAGGTACCATTCAGAGAGGCCCATGGTCTTTCTGGCAAAGCTGTGTTTGCAGCTGAATCCAAAAACATCGCCCTGAATCAACTCACTGTGGAAGACCTGACTGCTGTTAGGTATCTGTCTTCTCATTCTCACACACACACTCACAACCTTAAAGCCTAAAACCTTGTAACTAACTGCTGTTTATTTTTGGAGGATTAATATTCGTCCCTTTCCAGCCATTTTATCTCATGATTTGATGATGGTCAATTCTCTCTTCCTTCCTCTTTCTCTGTGTCTGGTCTGTGATTTTAGCCCTCTGTTTGGGAACGACATATCCTCAGTGTGGGACTACAGGAGCAGTGTGGAGCAGTATAGCGCCTCCGGTGGCACAGCCAAGAGTAGCGTTGCTGCACAGGTGGAACACCTGAGGACCTGGCTGAAGAAACAGGCACAGTGACCTCCACCCAATTTTACCCAAAGATCCTGAATCAGGTTTACTGCCACAGTTTAGATTAGTTTGAACTGTCCAGCTGAGGTCAAAGGGAAATACGTAAAACTTGAAAACCACATTGCCTTTCAAACATTGTGCTGTCTTCTCTTTAAATAAGTATGACATGCCAGCTGCTGGTGTGAAACCTTGACATGTTTCTGTTGATCATGTAGGAATCTGTTACAAAAGACCTGACCATTGTAAAATGGCTGCCAGAATAATAAACGGTGTTATTAGAGCCTGATCTGACTGATTTCTGCCACAACGGAACCAGTGCTACAATGGAAACAAAAACAGATGTGTTTTCAAAGTCAGGAGAATTGTTTAACGGTACCTTATCTGCCCACAGTTGCAGATTGAGCAGTAAAATACATGTGGTATAGAAGCTGTCTGTCCACACAAAAGGCACACGTGTATTGGGAGCAGGAACAGTGAAGGTTAGCCAAGGCAAATTTATTTCTATGGGTAACATTTAGGTGCAAGTTGTAGGCAAATGTGCAACGTTTTTATAGGTGTTTATACACAAACTTTATATAAAAAAGGGAAAACAAAAATCATTGTTCAGTTTCATATTATACTAGTTTGATCCATAAAAAGCAAAATTAGAGCATTCCTAATTTAAAATCCATCCGTTATCTATACACCGTTTAATCCTCACTGGGGTCGCGGGGGAGCCTATCCCAGCTGACTTAGGGTGAAGGCAGGGGACACCCTGGACAGGTCGCTAGTCTATTGCAGGGCCTAATTTATAATATGTTTATTCATCTTACAAGGGTTCAGATAAAGCCGCTGGCTTGTACGATCTATTTATTGCTTGTTATAATAAATGTGGTGCCACGTTTCTCCCCAGTTTTGATTTCATAAATGTAGATTATAACAAAGCAATGCATTAAGCAGTAAAAAAGATCATAGCATTTGTATGAAAAGAGAAAAGCTGTTAGGTTGTGTTACATGTATTTTGAGTCCATTTGGGTTTCCCACAAATAAACAAATGTACAGAACATTTAGGATATGTCTTAGTTACCCGAAACTTAACTTAGTCATCTGATCAACACAGAGAACAATGTGCATATCAAATAAAGATGAAGAAGTAGAATCTCCAGCTTGTAAAAGAAGAACGAAAAAAAGAATTCTAAACTCCTAAAACTACGTTTTTATTCATCACACGTGTCTTATGGAAAACACATCTAAGAAAAGCTGATTGGAGTTAATAAAAAGCAGTAATAACGTATGAAAGTAAAATATTGACCCCTAATGAGAACAAAAATAAGAAAAGTCGACATAAAGACCTGCTGAGGTAAAGATCTCTACTCCTTCCTTGCTGCAGAAACAAATTTTAATTCAGAAATGATAACAGAGTCGGTGTTTGCTAACATGCTCACAATAACAATGTTACTGTGCTGATATTTAGCAAGAACAATGTTACCATGTTCACCACCACAGCATGTTAATGTGCTGGTTGGCATTAAACACAAATGCAGCTGAAACTGATGAAAAAATTGAATAGACAGGTTGCTATTTTGACACGGTAAAAGTGCTGCATTTAAATACAGAAGGTCAGCAAAGTTATTACAATTCTTCCTCAGAGGAATTTGAGCGTCTAATAAATTTCAGGGCAAATCATACAATGGTTGTTGAGCGCTTTCACTCAAAGTTACCAACTTTGTGGTGGTGCTAGAGGGGATCTCAAAAGTCTGTAGGATTGTAGGATACATCATCACATTACTAGTTATTGGTCAGCCTCAGAGAGGATTTTAAATAAATGTACAATCTGAGTGAAAATTAAATGTAAATATTGTACCAACAGGAGGACACTGAGGCCTCAAATGGTAGCAGTGGGAATTTTTTACTTTGAGACAGGTTATAGCTGTAATGATGTTCACTGATGGGTCCCTGTGTTTGTGGCTGTAACACATTAGTTTAAAGTAGGTGTAACATTAACTTTATGTAGGGGTTGCGTTTGTGCAGTGAACTGACACGGTCAAAGGTAAACAATTTCCCCCTGTGACGCTTCATGCAAATATTCTGAGGTTGTATCAGAGTGAAAGTTTCTTTTGACTTTGATGTTTCACTTGCACAAATGTAAGAGTTGCCTTTAAACATACAGGAGCTTTTGTTGCTCAAATCAGGTTTCTTTTTTTTCATGAACTGAGTCAGTGTATCAGACCCGTTGTCCCGAGCACGACTGAGAAAACGCCAAACCATAAGTTGCTCACACTCGGCAGAACTGTACCCGCTTTGGAGCAGTAAACAACTCTGCCATCCAGAGGCTGTGTGGGTCTGAAGATATCCGTCATTGGCTGTCCGGTCCAAAACCGACACTGTTTAACTACTGCATCCAGCTGGAATGGAGAGGAGTAAAAAAGAATGTAGGTGACTGAGCAGCTAGAGAGGTAAAGCAGAAGGGCAGAAAAAAGTTATAGTTCAGCATTTACTGTACCTGAGGTGAGAGTCAAGATATCAGGAAAGTTTTATTTAACATCTCTGCACCAAACTTTTTTTTTGCTGTGACTTATGCTGTTAACTTATTAAGTCATTTAATTAACCATTTACAGGACTTCAAAAGCCTTGACTATATCTGTAGTCAGCTTAAAGGTTGCTTACCTGTCGACTGCTGATGGACAGGGTCCTATGAAAAACCGTCCATGCGACTGCCTGCTCGCATCCTGGAGTCGTCATGGAGCCCACGTAGCGGTAGTAGCTGTGAAGGTCCTTTGCAGCTGGAATAATGTCACTGAGGCGAAAGTTTGGGATCACTGTGCTGCTGCCTGAACGCAGCAAACCAGGGAGGAGAAGCAAAGTTGGGATTTAATAAAACTGTTAAACAGACTGAAAATAAGATCCAATTCAAGTACCAGACTACAAACAAGCTAACTATGCCAGATTTTTAAGCCTTTTACATTTAATTACACAAAAATTCTACCATTGTTTTGCACTCGGCCCAACGCTGCTATTATTGCGTCCAAATAAGGATGATCATCTGTGGTTTCCTGTGAAGAGGACACCATCAACAGTATGGCACAAACTTAAATGCTTTGTGTTTGATAAACAATGTAGAGTTATGAAGATTAAAACATCACAATGTATTACCTCAAACAGGAAGGCGAGCAGAGCTATACCTGCCAAGTCATGTTCAGCCTCTGCCAGAGAACCATAAGGCTCCTTGATGTGGACGATGTGCAGCTGTACAGAGAGAAGAGAGTTAGAGTGTACTGGAGCACACTTTACAACACTGTGTGCACTGTGCAACACAAACCTGTGAGAAAACATGAACTGCCCTCTGATTAGTCTTAAATGATTTAATGAGTAGTTACAGTTTTCTATTCTGACCCAGCAAAATACCCAGCACATACAAAAAAAAAATGTTAATCAATTCTTTCTTCTTTTTTTTTTTTCCCACTGACCATTTAAGTACAGTAGTGCATTTTTTTAATGGTAATATGGCAGAAAAATGGGAAACACAGTAATGTCAAACCTGTGGGAAAAGCTTTGTTTATGTTAACATTTTTGCTAAAAGTTTCACAAATCTACCTCATATATCAATATTAACACAAGACCTCAGTAAATCCCAGTACGTATGGCCTTGTGACATTGTTTTATAGTGTAAGAGTGCCATGCAAACTGCAGCGACTGTGACTAAAGCTGCACCAGGCTGTCATATTAAACTCATCAGATAAACAAAACGAAATATATTCCTCATCATGTAACTGAAACAAATGAACTGTTCTAATTCAGTGGCATACTAATGACAGCAACCATAATTCAATTTAGTATGTTTACAGTAATATTTACATTTCCAGTTTCAAAGTGCAACACACATCCACATATTTATCATTTACAATTTCATTTCAAGTAATTTACAATTAATTGACATGAAATGTTTTTTTTTTTTTTAAAAGTGAGTTATGATTTAAGCTGCTGTAATTCTGTTAGTCTTACTGAAAGAAACAACAAACCTAAAACATACTCTACTACATTTATCTTGTCACAAAGTATTAATCCATTTTCATGACAAATCAACCAACAGTTGAAACCTAACTGCATTAAAATATGTTTTGTAGTCAAACACACAAGTTGGCTACTGAGTGATGTACCTCCATGGGGAATCTCTCTCCATCGATGGTGTGCTCTGATCCTGGTCTCCCGTTTCCTCCCCAGTGGAAGTGAAACTGGGCGGCTCTGTAGTGACCCGGCAGAGCTCCTCCGGTCAGACGGACTGACTGAGGCAGAGCAAAGTGAGCTGCAGGGAAAAGAGGGACAAAACAGAGATTCAACATGAAGCAAAAAAAGCTGGTAATACAGCTTTTTATGTCTGTTCGGCTGGACAAATTGTGTTCCTCATTACCAGAGTGTCCCTTGTTTTGCACTGTAATGTTGATGGTGTTGGTGTGGCCGATGAAGTCGAAGGGTGGCAGGGCGCTGTTGATGTGCACTTTGCTGGTGACAATGTTAATTGGGGACTGGCGTAATCCTCCACAGCTGGGAAACTGAGCTGCCCAGTGGCTGGGGTCTGAAGCACACAAACAGCAACAGCATCATCACATTTTAGACTTCAGTGACTGAACAGACGGCTGCCTCACAGCTGTTCTTTTATTTTCCTCATAGACGCTGTATTTTTAAAGCTCCAGAAGCTTTATTGTAAGCCAACATTGTAAAAATTACAGTTTTTGTCTGTATTTTTTTCAAACAATTTATTGCTATTGTACATTTTTCCAATTAAAAAAACAACAACTATGTAATAACTAGTAAAGTAACAGAAAAAATCCATAGTTACATATTGTCTTTCAGAATAAAACAAAAAAATAACCAAAAACTGTACATAATGCCAATATCCAAAATCTGTATTTTAAAAAATTGTTCACATATGTTTAACTATAAATTTACTTTATTTTCACTGTATTTAAATCTGCAATTATTTTACAAATTTCTGCCGTTATTTAAAAGAAAAAAATATGTATATTAAATTGAAAAATGGTCAAAATAAAAAAATTAATTGTCTTTTTTTTTTTTTTTTTAGGTTTTTCTATATGTAATAAAATTACAGGTAATTTCTAGTGAAATCACTTCTTTTTATATATATGTTTTTGGACATTACTGTATTTGACCTTATTTTAACTTATCTTTCTGTTTATGTTTTGGTTCGGACCTTTTACTTCTCACTGACAAAACAAACTGTACCTGCGCCTTGTGGCCCTTTTGTCAAAATGTTAAGTCACATATTCTGTTTCTTGGATTTTCCCTTACTGCACATTGCTGTGGAAAAAATGAATACATTTTTAAAAAGAAGACTATCTGAATTACCAAAATGTTGAACTATAAGATGCATTATTAGAACCTGCTTAAGTCTATGCGCAGATGTTTCCTTTGCACAGTGAGAATGAATCTGAGTGATGAGAGTAGAAGAAGGGGGCGACTGACGGAATGTCTCAAATGCAATGAAAACACTTGAACAGCTCTGTTTGGAAAGATCCGACTCTAATGTCTGAATTCTTCATTCATAGTTTGAATGAATGAATTAATGCCATGCACTAATCACTTGATAAAAAGCAGTATATGAAGGTTTGTTTCTATTTTGTCAGAAAACAGTTACATCTGTGAACTAACTCCTTTCACATCCCACTGCTTTAAAGCCACCTGCAAAAGGAAAGGTTGTGTTGAAGGGTAAAAATCACAGAGACAGCACAAATCAGAGTTTAGCTTTGAGGATCTTTCACACTTTGGGGACTCTTTCCATGTGTTCTTACCTCTGCATGTGTCATCACAGGAGTACTGGCTCTGGTAACACCACTGAGCTGCAGAAAAAGTACAGCACACAGGTCAGATTCTGAACCACACAAACACACACGCCTACAGTAACTACAGTACAGCATAGTCCAGTTCAGGTTAGTTCTCCATTGTGCCAAACAAGCTGGCTTTGTGCAGTTAATAAATGAGTATTAATCAATGTCACATTCACGCCCTATTAGCCACAGTGTTTTCTTGTCAGTCAGCAGCCTCACCAGCTGATCTGCTCATGCAGCTGAACTTTGACTAGTCAGGATGTGCAAAACATCTTCTCTCTGCCACACACATGGAGTAGTATTATCACTTCTTGCTGGCTTTCAGCTGCCTTTATGTGTATGCTGGTTTCATATAAATTCTCAGCTAACACCTAAACAAAACAAAATATGACAGTCGGTCACATGCAACCAGACTGCTGAGCTGCAAATGATTATTCATCCACCTTGATGGCTAGAAAACAGTTGTATTTATTACTACCTTTTTACTGACATGGCCTTCATGTTTTTCACCAAGAAAAAGAAATGTTACATTTTGCATTTTCCCCCCCAATTGCCTTGTTGCAGCAAGACACAAAAAACTTGTATAAACAGGTGACAAAACGCCTGAACTGTGGAGTTAAAACACAAAAACAGGAGTTGCATTCTCAAAACTGTCCCCCTAAAACTGTTCATATAATCAACAAAATCACCGGTGTCAGAAAGCCAACCAAAAATTCACTCAAGTCAGCAAAATGACAGCTTTACTGCAATACTTTTACGTTTTCATGAACACCTGGCTGCACGACATCTTCTACACAATCATCCCCAATCAGATTCCTCAGATAAAAACGCTTTTTGGAACAAATCCAGCCTCTGAGTGTGGCCTAGACGTCAGATTTGTATTTGCAATTCTCAACTGAAATAATAAACAAGAAAGATTTGATACAAACTGCTGCAGTAGTTTTGCAAAGCTAGATGCTGTGCTTTTAGATTTTACCAACTCATATTCACACACCTGATGAGGGGGGTGTACACAATGTTACACTGGTGGCTCTAATGTTAAGGCTGACATTACATTTCTCTTCATCTGGAATAATTTGGACAATACTAGATGAAAAAATCACAAAGGACATTTAATAAACAAATCACAACTGACTTTATACACACTCTGATTTAAACTGCTTGTGATAACAACAGCAGCTGTATTTATTTTATTATTTTTATCATATTTTTTATTTTATTGCAATTTCTGAATTGCCCCAAGGGGATAAATACAATTCTTTGAATTGAATTGTGATCGTACCATCTGCTGTTGGCAGTGGAAAAAAAATGCCATTATAGATTTGCAAGCCACATTACAATAAATCAGGATGTTACACTTATTTTACGGTGCACATGAACACAATTAGGATGACCCATTATGCTTTATTGTATTTCTACTCGACAGTGAGTTGAGGAAATGCAGACTGATTTTAATCTTTCAGACAGGTCGGCTGTGTGCTGTGCAGGAGTGGTTGTGAGTACACTGATTGCATTCACCGTGAAGTGAATGTCCAGCTTTATCCAGCTCCTTAACTGCCTCTGCAGCGCTGCATTAAACGTGTCCATCCAACAGGTGCTGATGAAGTCATTTAGTGTTGTGTGCTGCGGTTGTGTATTGTGTTGCTGATGTGAATGAAACTCCAGTGTCTGACTCTGCGGTGGGAATGAAAGCCGCTATAGAGAACCATTTAGCTAATATAGGGACACAGATTAACCCGGCTGCCTCCCACAATGCCATTCTTTGAAAGGGGACAACAGTTCTCACCAACTGAGAACAATGCACAGGTGGAGGTTGGCTTTCCTCCACCTGGCTCCGACACCTGTGTCACACTAAGCAGCAGAGAAAAGTCAAACCTAAGACAATCCAGTAATTACCCATCACCTTTACTTTTTTTATTTAATATTTTTTAGTTTTTTCCCAACTTTTTCTGTACCAAAATGCTATTTTTAACGAACCCGCACCCAAGAAGAATCCATGTCTTACGTTACATCAGACTTCAAAATCCAATTCATCCACGACCCAAAATCTCTGTGTACATCAATGCATCAAAATAAAATAAAAATGTTGTTTATGTGACACAAATACACATCTCATATGAGATTGGCATTGGTTTAAGTTTTAACCTCAGTGCACCATGACAACACATTCTGCACTTTGCATACATTTTAATGGTCAGTTTAACCTAAAATTCTAATTTTTTAACTCTTATGAAGCAAGAAAATAAATATTTCGTGTTCATGTTACATAAAAGACAAATATTTTGCTATCTTAACTATAACTTATACAAGCCATATGTACAAGCTGTTGGGAGTTACAGAGTGGTTTACAAACCACTTCAGCCCTTGACATTATGTAAATTTGAAAAGATAAAACAACACATTCTTCCTGGACCAGATGATAATTTAAGTCCTAAACCACTGAAAACAGTTCACTTCTGTACACTGAGGATTTTCTTTTTTCTGTTCTGTTCTGACCAATAGCCTGTGGTGGGTACTGAAAGCAAACTTTCAAAAAGATATCCAGTTGATATTTGTGAGTCTTTTTTTTGACTTTCTAACTCTTTTCTTGGGAAAAGAGTCAAAAACAATGAAAAAAAAACAAAAAAACAATGAAACTAAAGTTGCAAAAACTGGCAAATTAGCTACTTAGTCACCATAAAGTTGATCTGCAACCACTGTCACTATTGTGGCTATTCAGTTTTGTTTTTTTTAAGTAATTTTAAGCCAAATACCAAACAATTTCAGCATGTCAAATGGGAGCTATGGCAGCTTTTCCTTATCTGACATAATGCAAATTAAATTGTTTTGTGGTTTTGGACTGATGGTTTGACATCTGATGACTTTGTGAGCACTGTATTAGTTTCACTGGTGTTTGCAGACTCCTGTTGTTGTTTTATGACATGTTTTACACGTCTTTAATATATGTTGGATTTATAAAATGTATTATTTCCAAAGTTTTATTTGAACTGTTATGAAGAGTTATGAAGTAAAATTTGCCAGTAAGGTATGAGGAAAGAACAAAGGTTAGAGGAAAGCCAGTAAAAATCAGTATATATTGCTTTTTGGCCTTCCTCCTGGTAATTATCTTGCCTGTCCCTCAATTTACAATCCATGTTGAGAATCATTGTGTTTAATTAGGTTTTGATGTAAATGTTTAAATCACTTTTATTAGGCATTCTAGTTTATCTATTTGAATTAAATTAGATGAAAACTAATAAATGAATAGAATGAGTGGGCAAAGAGTAAACTAGGCCCACAAAACTTAACCAAACCACGACTTTTATATGTAGGTTTAATTGTCTTGTGCTGCAGGTTTATGTGTGAGTCTGTGTCCTACCTGTGCACTGAGAAAGAAGAAACAGCAGAGTGAGGAGGTAGAGAGAAAACCCCATGATCAGGACCAGCACGGAGACGAGAGGAGCTCCTCATACACTGAATTTCAGCTGCCTTCACATGCTGACTCGGAGCAGCATTTGAAGGTGGGAGGGAGACGATCATGAGTATGACAAAAGGTGTGTGTGCATTAGTCTCAGAAAGACGCAGGAAAAAAGGGACTTGGAGAAAATGTCCTCAGCTGTCAGGTGTGTGAAAGAGGAAAGACAGACACCTGGTGGCAAGAACAGTTTAGTGTTTTTCACTGCAGCCTCCTTCATCAACCTCCTGTGAATATTGAGATTTTAGAGCATTAACACACATTTAAAAGGGCTAAAATAAATATACTTACTGTACTATTTTTTTTTACAGGGCTTGCTTTTGAGGGAGATGACAGGACAGCTCAGGATAAGCCTAGACAACAAAAAATAAAGTACAATAAAGTTTTTAAGAACAAACATGGTGCTTTTTCTTTGTTCTTTTTCACATTTTTAAATTGTCAGCACTGTTTCCAAATTGTGCTGTTGCAAATATTCATCATTTGCAGTTAGTATGAAACAGTGCAAAGCAAAACTCTCTGCTTGATCATCCATCCATCCATCCATCATCTATACACCACTTAATCCTCACTAGGGTCACGGGGGGCTGGAGCCTATCCCAGCCAACTTAGGGCGAAGGCAGGGGACACCCTGGACAGGTCACCAGTCTATCCTGCTTGATCATTTGACATGGAAATATCACTGAATACCGAGCACAGTTGTTTTTTTTAACTCCTGTAGGTTGAGTTTTTCAGCTTACAAATGGCTCTGAAGTGACTGCTGGTTAACATGTTGTCTTAATGGGCTGTATTTCAGTCACAATTTAATACCTGTTCCATTGTCTGACAACAGAAACAGCTTCATTGGGAATTCAGCTGTATTAAATAATGTACTGAAGCACAACAAGCCACACAAAAACACAGAAACCCATCCAGTCCTTGTTGGCTGCAAATAAACACATTTGAATTGTACCTCGACTTTACAGTTTCCCAGAGCTCTGACCTGTGGCCATACAATCAAAGCTAATGACAGTGTTAGCCACATTACCTGTACAAAGTGCTGACATTGTACCGATAATGTGCAGTTATTGTGAGGACATTATCATCAAAAATAAAAGTAATCCACAGGGTCTTCAGTTCCTCAGAGGCTGTCAGTGCATGAACACTCTTGTGTTCACTCTTAGAGCCATCAGCAGTACATCTGGCATGTTTTGCTTGTAACTGAGACATTTTATAGTTAACAGAAGCAGCTCTAGGAAGTAACTGAAGCTGGTGAACTGAAAGGTAGCTGCTCATTCTGAATGGCTCATATGGAGAGCGAGCAGTGAGGGGAGAGGATATTATACAAATTTTGAGCTAGAAGACTATTGGTTCATGGTGACACATGGCACTTTTTTACTGGCTTGTAAAGCTGGGAGACCAGTTACAGTTATTTGTAACCCAGGACAGAAAATTAAGAAACCAGCTCCAACAAATTATTAACATATTGACATAATAATATGAGAAATTAATCAAATCACAAACTAATACATGTAGGAATATATTTATTTGAATATCAATATAGAAATACATGTATATATAATCAATAATTAATTACAAAGAAGTTAAAATTTTAACGGTGTCATAAAACACATTTTAAAACTGCTGTTGTTGATTACCAAACAGTTTATATTGTTGTTTCTGGCGTTTTTTTAAGAAAATGAAATGAAAACATTTTTCATGTGATCCTGTAATCTGTCAACTCAAAGGCAGAAAAACTTTCTGAAATCTCAGGGACACATTGCCTTCATCTCTGCCGTCAGTAGGCAGAAATGGAAAAAACCTTCGCTGGGCAGAAATGATCAAGTACCTTCAGTCTGTAGTTAAAAGCTGATCCTTCATTAAAATGGACTTCTGGACCTTCACAGGAATGTTTGTTGGTCCCTAAATACTACCAGTCCAGTGAAATAACCTGGAATCCTGCTCTAAGTCTTGCAATAGCATTACAACTGGCGGTTACTTCATTAAAAATCACTCCGAATTTTCTATACTTAAGTATGCAAACCTGATCTAACAAGTTAAAATGGAACGTAGTGATGCTGAATACAAACGTAAGAGTCATACAAGAGAATAAATAATTTCCTTCATGAAACTAAGTCGCTCCCTTCAGTGAGCTTCATAAAACTTCTCACACCGTTACTGAAATGTAAAATGGATTAAGGCAACACCTGAAACATTCTCTGGGTCATTGCAGATTGCTATTGCAGATACTGGTTTGATTCGTGTGGAAACTTGTTGATGTGATATTATGAAATTCAACCGGCTCTGTCCTTCTTTATTGGAGTAAAGGAGATGGAGGACTTGCTGTGTAGGAGGCAGCAGGGTGTCTTCAGGAGACATAATTCTGAAAAAAACAACACAAGCAATTAGAGGCTTTCCTGTAATTGCTTTCTTGTTCTGCATTGCAAAATGGCTGAGGAGTATCGGGGAGGTAAGCTGTGATGTTTTGGCCCACTGCTGCAGCTGAAGTGGAGAGATTTAACGCCCTGTTTAAGTCCTGTCTTGTGTTTGAGTGTGAAGGTGAGGAGAAATTAATTTCTGCCAACAGTAGAGGGCAGAGAAGACAAAGTATTGCCATCTGTAACTCACACCAAAACAGATATACCGCAGCATAAAAATACTCCATCAAAAGCAAACGTCCCTGAATCAAAGTTCATATACTGAAGGACGACAAATTAAAGGAAAAACTTGAGCACATGAGTGAAGACACATGACTAATCCAAATCCACACAGTGCATGGTGCAGTTAAGCATTTAACATCCATCTATGTTCTGTGGCCTGTAGAAAAATGCTGAAAGGCTTAGTAAATTCAGATTTTTGGGACTTTGAAAGAGGGTTCATTGTTGGGGGACAGATGGCAGGAGATTCAGTCACATAGACTGTTCATCTGGCTTCAATGGGAACAGTGAATAAAATGACATCTGCATCAAGATCAATGGAAAAAACATCAATGAACAGATGATCAGACTGTCAACAAGAACAGCCATTCACAGTTGCATAAAGAGGGATAATATAGGAGGGCTGCAGTGCATATACTCCTCGTTACAAAGATGAATGCACATTAGAGAATTCAGTGAGGCAAAAAACACAGAGATAAAGAGAAAATTGAAATGGTCAGATGAGGCATTTTTCACTGTATTGTCCACAAGAGGTTGAGTGCATGTTTGGCAAACTCCAAGAGAACTTCATAGACCTGAAAACCCTACAGTGATGTCTTCCAGTTGCTAACCCTTAAGAATGAAGAGTAGAGTCCAGCTTTACAAAGAACAATACATAAAAAATAACTAAACCAAATGCTTGAAGATGGTTCAGTCATTTGTGTGTCTGTATCAGTGGCATTTCTTTCTTCAGGCTTTCTTTCCCCTTAATACAAAATACAAACATACTAAAGCCATGATTTGTCTTTTCTGCAATTTTTAGGGATGAAAATGGAGTCACGTTCTCTGTCCCTTGACCACTCACCTGAATCACAACAGCAGCCACCACAGCCAGCATAGCGAAGACCATCATCTTCTTTATCCAGCCCAGGTCGACGGTCTTCAGGATGAAGAAGCGCGCCCAGCCCAGCTTCTTGGCTGTGTGAGGTGGGTACCGCATGCTGTTGGGTCCCTCCATCTTCAGCTGTTTGACGAGACAACTGCGCAGGTGGCTCAGCTGGTCAAAGCTGAACTTGCCGTGGTAGCAGCCCATACCACTGTTTCCTGTATGTGAAATATAGAAGCAGATAGTTTGATTGTATGGACGCATACTGTCTGTCAGTCAACACAATCACAAGTCACTTTCATTTCTTTATTCCTCATTCTGCACAGCACTGTGTCAGCTCCAGAGAAAGGTCTGGCTATGCGAGATGATTCCCCTTTTAAAGGTACTGTTGCCTTGTCAAAAATTCTTTTGAAGTAGGATCCAGCGTTTGAGTGTAAGCTGCCAAAATGAACTGCGTTATTGTTTAAAACATACCAAACTGGATATTTCAAGGGTATAAATTCAGGTTATAAAGTATTTGGTATTCTTTAGAAAACTGTTAATCAGTGATGCGCTGTGATTTATATTTGTTGGGCTTTAAAGCATTAAAACAAACTGTTTGGTCTTTTTGAACCTTGTGTGAATGTGCACAGAGGAGTGTGCAGCCTTTGAAACTGTTCTGTTTAACGTCATATTTTTTAAGGACACCGTCCTACCTCTCACATGCCCAAGTAACGTGCACATTTGCTCAGTAACACCTCTGCCCCAGTGCAGGGTAAATGAGCAAATAAGTAAAAGAGAGAGTAGGTCAACTCATTTGAATATTGTCTCACCGACTCCTCCGAAAGGCAGAGAGCTGAGAGAGAAGTGCACGAGGCAGTCGTTGGCCAGAAATCCTCCGCTAGAGGTCTCATCTCTCATTTTGTCTATCACCTTTAGAGAAGAAAAGGAAAGAAAAAACAAGTTGACCACGGGTCTAAATCTAATTGTTGCTTTCTACATGTTACTTTGTTGTCTATGCATACAGTGAATTGTGTCTTATACCTTTTTATCAGTTGAGAAGACGTAGAGGGCCAGAGGTTTCTCTCTCTTGTTGATGAACTTGATGGCATCCTCCAGACCGCTGACGGACAGGATGGGCAGCAGAGGTCCAAATATCTCGTCCTGCATCACCTTCGCTTCTGGCTTCACGTCCCGCAGAACTGTGGGAGCTAAACACAAACCAGAAACATTACTCATCATGTTATATGTGCAAATTGCCTGAATGAAAACTAATAAGAATAATCCTTGAATATGCTTTTGAGACACCTGGACACATTCTCAGGTTGTCGTGTCCTCAGCTACTCTAATCCTCCGTTGCCTGCAGCCAGTTTCCATCTCCTGCCTTGTGTGTTTTATTGTTTTTAACTGCAGAAGTGGAGAGAGGTGCCACAGCCTTAGCAGACCTTTACCACCTGTAGTACATCAGGTGCTCCAAATGCTCTGATAAGACTTCCTCACTCTGCCAGAACATAGACTCTGCCCATGAATTCCATGATTCAGCTCTGGCTCCTGAGCTTCCTGCCTTGTCTGTCTTATTCCAGCTTCCAGACCTTAGGATCCCTCTCTACCTATCTCCACCTCTGACTGGTTAAACCTTTAGCCTAAGACCCCCATCAACCTGCTGTATTAAAATAAACTCTCTATTTAAGAACCTCTTGTCCTCCTGCCCTTGGTGTCTGCATAGCCCCATCTTTTTTGCAATTCAGCTATAAGGGGAAAAAAACTCAAGCTTGTTTGTATTTCTTTAAACCAATCACAGTCATCTGGGGCAGAGCTAAGCCAAGGATGAAGCAACGGTGTCCCCTAAAAGTAGGGATGGGGGATTATTTTGCTGTAACAAATGGCGCTACATCCAGTGACTCAGATTAGGTTGATAATTCCTAAATTGATAATCATGAGAAAAGTTGGGCTCTGTCAGAAATATTACCAATGTAGCAGTCTGACTCGTCATTTTCTCCTCCTGCAGCGATGGTGCTGTCGGTCACCATCTCCATGATCCTCTTAAAGTGGCGCTGGTTGATGATGCGTCCGTAGTCAGGGCAGGTCTTTGGGTTGTCTGTGTAAAACTCCTGCAAAAATCATGTCAAAAAGTTAGAAATTAAATTAACTGAGGAACAGTTAGATTTCCTCCACATGAAGATCACAGGACTTTCTATTACAGGCTGAGTGATTAGTCATTTAGAGGCCTTTGATAATAAATCTTTTCAGTTGAATCAATGGATCTTTATGCTTCTTTAGTGTAAGGATTTTCCACTTAGAGCTGTCTGATTGAGGTCTTCGGTACCTTAATGGACTTCTTGACCTCCGCGATGACTCGATCCTGGATGCTGGGCTCGCAAAGGATGTAGTCCGGGGCGATGCAGGTCTGACCACAGTTGGTGTACTTTCCCCAGGTGATACGTCTACGCAGTAGTGGACAAGTTGACAGCAGAGTGTCAGCAAGGAGGAGTGATAATAGAGTAGAAACTGGATTTAAACATTTACATTTTTCTCAAAATATTTTATAGGAAAAGGAGTCAAATGGAAAATGAACACTCCGAGCGACTGTGCAAAATGAACATCAGTCTGACCTGCAGGCGAGGCTAATGTCACAGTTCTTGTCGATGTAGCAGGGGCTCTTCCCGCCGAGCTCCAGGGTCACAGGTGTCAGATTTTTGGCTGCAGCCTCCATGATTATTTTGCCCACTGTGCTGTTGCCGGTGTAGAAGATGTGATCGAACCTCTGACGGAGCAGCTCCTGGGTCTCTGGCACTCCTCCTGTTACTACAGGGTAAAGCTCCTGACGCACAGGAGAAGACATGCATTCAGGCATCGCAAAGGACTGGAAAACTGTTTTTAGAGCACACACACAGTTATGCTTCAAATCTTGCGAGATACATGGCAGTTTGGTTTCATTCTGTTTTGACAGTTAGCAGAACAAACAGAGATGAAGATACAACTGGCTGATGGTTATTTGCACATTATAATAGCCCAGAAAACATGTTGAAACACATATACACCTATTATGAGCTTTTGTATGCACAGCTGTCCCTTTAAAACTCATCTGGTAAACAGCAGGGCCCTAAAATATACTGTGCTTTTATCATTATGACTTGATTTGTTTTACACTGAATAAAATAACCTTAATAAATAAAAGTGTTTGAAGCCTGATATACTGCCTCAGTGCATATGGAGCCAGCAGAAAAACAGATGTTTAATGTGGACTATGACGTACAAAAACTATGACTATCACTTTTGTTAAACTGTAGTCTGTAAATTTGATCTAAATTTTGAAACAGAGGAGGGTTAAAATATTAAACTCTGCAAAGACTAGAACTAAACTGTTATGAACGTATGCATCAAGCTCAAGGAATTACAGCATTCTTACATTTAATGACCAACAACAGTGTCTTGTTTCCCTGTGTATTATGCTAAAGTTATGTCCTTACTTTGTCGATGTAAAGAGGCAGCAGGCGCTCCATGACTTTTGCAGTGTGAACACAGACCTCAGAGGGCTTCACCACAGCTGCATTACCTGGACAGGTAAAAGAGAGAAGGCAGCAGATATGACGGGACAGAAACACAGACTGTATATCATTATTTTTCTTTATTGCAGTTTGTCCTGTTTTCTCTACCAAGAGAGTGAACAGGTTTAGTTGGTGAAACTTCATGTAACTAAGAAGTCCCTTGAGATTAAAATCTAATTTTCAGGCAAGATCTGGCCAAGTAGGCACAACTTCGTAAAATCATAGCAAAAATGGTCAAATCAAGCGTGACAACAACAGACATAGGACAAATGAAAGCACAATAAAAATGAAATGAAAAACACTTTATTTATCCCAGAAGGGAAATTCAATAAAGCAGGGAAATTCAATTCAAACAAAAAATAACTGCAGGACTAAAAACACACAAAAACCAATCCAGTTTAGGAATAGCTATTTTGATTAGCTACATAAGGATGCTTCCTCTGAGTCTCACAGATTGTTCACCTTTGCCGTAACGGGCAGCCTCGCTTTCCTGTTTTATGGGTTTTTATTAATACACTGATTGCTGTTTGCATCATTTACACACCCTTAATGTTACTGTGGTTTATCTCAGAGAAGTCAAACCTAAATTGATTTGCACGTTTATTTGGTGTTATTTGTTACTGCTACATATATCTGGATTGTTTTTGTATCTTTGTATATATATCTATAGACTATATCAGTGTTTTGTGGCTTTCTGTTTTGCTGAGATCAGTCAGTGCATTTTTGCTGATATGACAGCATTTTACTGGGAGATAAGCAAAAGGAATCAGACTAGAAAGGACAGATCTTTTGTCTGCTTTGTTAATCTGCAACTATCATACACTGGAAGACGATAAGTTAAAAATCACAGTTCAAACTAGTGTCTTATTCTGCTATCACAATACATACTGCATGTTTTTACTGCAAAACATCTAAAACTATAATAATGTGTTCAAGCTGACAGTGTTCAAAATCTTTACACGTGGTTATTCTAGATAACTGAGTCAGTTGCCTTTCACCTAACCTTTTATTTTTATGATTGTGTATCTGTAAAGTTAATCAGAAGACTTCTGACCCACTGGACTGATATATGCGTTTATGTAAGATCTGATACTGCTGGAGCAAAGGATAAAGTCCATATTGTGCAAACATTTGTTGTATGAGCTGCAGTTCTCCAGCCTCCAGTGTCTGAGTCTAAACAGGATTTATCCAAATGAAATACAAATGAGTCGTCTACCTGCAGCCACGGTCATAGTACTAACACCCATAGCTTGAGATAAATAACTAACACGTTTGTAAAAAAAATCCTGCAGTGTCATGCTAACCAGCCACAAGAAAACTCCTCCAACTGAGGTTTGCACAACAAAGCAAAGCAAGCTGAGCCAAAACACTTGATTCACACCTTCTATACAAAGCAAACTGGGGGAGTTTGAGGGTAGTTTTACAGACACATATGACTTATTCATGAGTTCAGTCATTACTCTGGAGGTGGAGTTCAACCTGGTATGATGGGAACAATGCACATGCACGTTGACACGTGCAAATACACCAAAATCAGAATACAAAAATGACCTGAACATAACAAAAAAATGGCCATGCTAGATGGCATAAATGTTATTTTACTGTGACTCTGTTCCTAATCTCGAAAGCTCTGATCTCATTATTGCTGTATAAAGTTCACAGAGTGGCCTTTGACCCACTAATCTCAAGCTGAAAGAAAATAAAAGAACATTTGGCAATGCCTGGACAAAAAGGGAACTGGAGTGGTTATGATCACAAGACGAGGGAACACAATAGGCCTGGAAAAGGAAGAAAGAATAAAAGAGAGCTAAATACACACCCTGACAGAGCTGCTGTGGTCTTTGCCTGTTCGATCTCCAGTTACACGACTTTAAGGTGTCGCAAGGCCACAAAAATGCTGAGATATTATTACATCGCACACTGCTCCTTCACACACATCCAACAATACCTGCAGCGATGGCGCCGATGAGTGGCTGGATGGTAACAGCCCAGGGGTAGTTCCAGGCCCCAATGATCAGCACGACGCCCAGCGGCTCCGGCTTGATGTAGATGGTGTCTGAGAGGGTCAGCAGGTTCTTCTCCACAGACCGAGGTGCTGCCCACTCCTTCAGCTTCCTGATGGCCAGGCTGATCTCCCCCTCCAGGCCCAGAGTCTCATACAGCTGAGTCCCCTGCTCGCTCTGAGGACGAAGACCAGGACGTTAGACCTGCTCATAGCTTATGTCTGTTTCACGAAATAAATCCTGTTTAGATTCCAAAGAAAGCGTTAAAACTTAGTTGATCCCATTTCCTATTCAGAATTTCTGTTAATCAGTTTTAATCTCATCCTTTGTGGGGATCGTATTTGCATCTTAAACTTGCTCCACATCTGTCGTCTCTTGTGATGTGATTTGCTTTTTGGATGTCTTGGATTTTTCACACTTTGCATTCTGAAAAAGATTTTCTCAGGTGATGTTCAGATGATTCAGTTTGCAATTCTTCAGTTCTTATTCTCTACAAACATAATAATAACAATCCTTATTTGTAGAGGACATTTAAAAATCCTCATTGCACAGTGCTTCACATTGGCAGCAAGATAAAACAGACAAGTCATAAAATCATCAGGTTTTAATCCTCAGATGTTAAAATTAAGTGTAAGTTTAAAGCAAATTAAATCTCAACTCAGGAAAGGCTCTCTAATAAAAGTATATTTTAAGAGGAGACTTAAAGGAGCTGATGTCCTTGGTCAACTCAGTACAGAGCCTCAGGGCACTTTGTCCCCTTCAGTGTTCAGTCATGACCTTTTGTCTGACCTCCGCATACTAATAGCTGGGAGAGAAGCCAGGATTGGCAGACAAGAGTAATCTGTAATATACTACACTCTGTCTAAAGACATAGTTGAAACCAGTGTAAAGAAGGTTAAAACAGGAATGATGTGCTCACATCTCTTGGTTCTGGTTAAACCTTTTTCAGCTGAGTTCGGTTCAGTCTGACATCAATCAATATATTTTTGGTTCAGGCTGGTAAAAGTGCTGCTGCAGCAATCCAACTGTAGGGAGATGAAAGTGTCTCTCTCTGTCTTTAAAAGCCAACATAAATAGTATTTTTGAAATATTTCTAAGATAAAAATCAACCTTTTGCAGAGGTTTTGTCAAGATTTCTTGCGGCAGGTTTGATAGGATCCAAATGGGAACCAGCTGATCGTAGAATTGGTTTGTGATGTTTTACAACCTAATAATGGAAAAGATCTGTTTTGTGTGCGTTGAATGCTTGTCTTTATGAGTGCAGAACTGCGTAAACACCAAAGACCATAATCAAACCAGTCCACATATAAGTCTCATCCTTGTGTCTTGTATAATCTAAGACACTCTATACAAAATGTTATATCAATAAAAGCAAACAGCCTGAAGCTAATTTGCGACTTGTTGGACACCAGGTATCACTACTCACCTTGTTGAGGTCTTTCTTAATGGCATCTGCAATCTCTGTCTGTCTCTCGGTGAATAACAGCTGCAGGTTCTGCAGCTGGCGGATCCGGTGCTCCAAACATTTGGATCTGCCAGTTTCGAAGGCTTTCCTGGCTCGAGCCACTGCTTGCTGCTCCTGAGACATCCTTCACACAAAACAAAAAGTTCAAGATGTTTCAATCTGTGTTCTGTGCAAGAAGTGACACTGGTTAAGATGGAGCATTATTTTGTTTATTTGTGCACATTTGACCAGTTGTTGTCTGAACTGATTCATTTTTCAAGCAAAAATAATCAAAAGTTGACACATTTTTTCCTTCCACTTTGTCAAACATGAGGATTTGGTGCTTTTTTCTGCTTTATGTAATGAATATTTTGGAGTTTTAAACCATCCCTTTCTGCTTTAGGCAGCCAAAAAGAGAACTTTTTGGCATTTAGGCGAGATTAATCAGCAATTAAAATATTTGTAGGTGCTGAAGACATCACTCTTATCTATAAAATCTGACATTTCCTTTCAGTGTTCACATATAGAGACACCTCTGTTGAGATTAAAGATGGCAACAAGTACAACAAAATAGTAAAATGCAATTACAAGAAAAACACTTGTGTGTTTGTGTGTGTTGTGTGTGAGTGGGAGGAGGGCCAAAATTATGATAATTACAAATATAACATGGCAAAATGTAGTTGTTGTTATATAGATTATTTTCATATACAATAGATTATTTGCCCCACACACATATTGAACATAAAATATATCCCAGAGGCATTCTGCTTTTTGATGCATAAGTATCATGGTGTTGAAACAAAGTCAATTATTTAATGTATTTTACTCAACTACCACACGACTACTGGTTTTACACATTTTTTATTTTATATTTACTGTTGGATCCCAAACCTACAACTAAATTTTAGTCAGGCAAATTTGCATTTTATATGATTTTGTAGAGTTTTCGCCATAATATTATATTAATGTCATATAATGATATACTTAGATAACCTGACACTAAAAAGCACATGCTATGCTCTAAACTTTAATGTAAACTCACAACACCAATCTAATTTCTGTACTGCAAAGCACTCCGGCGCAACAGCTGTTGTTTTAAATGTGTTGTGTAAATAACAGGGATTTGACTCAACTTATGCATCCACTAAAATGTTAAGCATTTCATTAAATGGCATTTAATGCAGCACTTCACAGATTTGACCTTCAACACCTGTCATGAGTTGTAAATTTCAAAGAGCTGATAAAACACAAAGCTGAGTTAAAGGGAGCTCCATCTCATCCAGCTGCAAAGTTAAAATATTAGAGAAAAACTCAATATTTATTCAATTTTTTTTGATACTTGAAGTTTATTTTTTTCATAATAACTCTGGCCATTTTTTTGTCTTATTTTTTATATTATTTAAAACAACCAGCTGACATTTTGGGCTGAATATAGTAGAAAAGCAAGTAGTTTAAAACAATAGGAGTAAAAAATAAAGGTAATCTAGATGTAAAAAAAAATACAAATAAAAAAAAGAAATGAACAGTGATCTGCTTCTCTTCACTAACATATGGTAATCCATGTTCATATTCTTAATGCGTGTTTTACACTTATCCTTTCTGAGTATAACAATAAGGAGAAGATAAAAGGAAACCAACAAAATATTTGAATGTGTAATTTAGTTATTTTCAAAGAAATATAAAACAAATTCTTATTTACTGCAGTTATTCTTCTGTTTGACTTTCTGTTATTTCCAGATCTTCCACATAGTTCATAAAAGATCCCCAAACGTCTTCACATCCTTTTGTTCAGTATATAAGTTACTCTTCCTAGTTTGACACTAAACTGCATTGCAATCAAATGAAAACACATCATTTGTAATCTGAAGATCTGAACAGTGCTGATGCTGCAAAAACTACATGACAGTTTAGTAGAATCACCTAAGCACCAGAGTTCACCTGCTGACATGTATTTCCTCCTGATCTGTTATTGATTTAGTGAGATGCAGATTAAACGAGCATCCTGCTGCGTTGTTTGCAGTAACAGTCAGTGTGTTGTAATGTGACTGACTGTCAGCTGCTGGGTCACAGCTGAATGGAAAACTACACATCCGGGATCCAGCGACTTCCCTTCATTGTTTTACTAATAACTTTAAACAACTTTCTCTATAAAAGCTCCTGCTGATCTGCGTCCCTACAGCATCGATCCGCTGCTCCTCCTGTTATTGATCTACAGCGGTTACGTAATAGTAACATAATGGGCTCATCGCTCCTCCACACACCCGCTGCTCTGTTTGCTCACAAACCGAGAAAACACCTCACAGCTGCGTCTTTGTTTCATTCCTTACCTTTATAATTTGAGTTAATTTCTCGGGATCCTTCTCCGTCCGGATGGTGAACTGATCCGCAGCAGTGCAGCCGAACGACAACAGCGGCTCAGATCAGCCCTCCTTCCCCCCGTTAGGTCCCTCCTCCTCCGGGGCAGAGGGGCAGCACCTCCCCTCGTCTCAGCTAGTGGGAAATTCAGCTCTTCGGTCTCAGCCTTGACCACAATAACTGCCATTAACGGCTCACACAGACAAAGAATGACTCATGGTTTTAGTCTGCAGCGCCACCATCAGGTCAAAACTCGTCCAGGACTTTACTTTATGAGCTGCAATGTAATGATCCCACTGTGTGCTCTTTAGAAAACATGTCTGGTGAAAATAGTCTGATCAAGTTAAACTCTGTTAATCAAATTACAAAATCATGCACTGAAAATGTTAGTTAAGTAAAACCAGTGG